TCTCCACTGGAACCCCCCCAAAACCCCCTGGGAACCCTAAATCCCCCCAAATCCCTTCCAGGACCCCCCAAATCCCCCCTAAATCCCCTCTGGGACCCCCCAAATCCCCCCAAAATCTCCCCAAATGCCCTCTGGGACCCCCCAAATCCCTCCAGATCACCCCAAATTTCACCCAGGAGCCCCAAAATCCCCCCCAAATCTCCCCAAATCCCCTCTGGGACCCCCTCCAGAACTCCAAACTCCACCCAGAACCCCCCAAATATTCCCCCAGGACCCCCCAAAATCCCCCCCAGCTCACCCCAAATCCCTCTGGGATCCCCCAAAACCCCTCTGGGACCCCCAAATCCCCCCAAATCCCTTCCAGGACCCCCCAAAATCCCTCTGGGACCCCCCCAAATTTCCCTAAATCCCCCCAAATCCCTTCCAGGACCCCCCCAAACCTTTCTGGGACCCCCCAAAATCCCCTAAAAAATCTTCTAGGACCCCTAAAACCCCACAAATCCACCACAAGTCACCCCAAAACCCCTTTGGGACCCCCCCAAAATCCTTTCTGGGCCCCCCCCATCTCTCACCGAGCCTCGTGGGGGCTCCATGAGGAGCCCCCCAGCTCCACGGTGGCCGCAGCCCCGAAGGTTTGGGGGGTCAGGTCCCCCCCAAAACCCCTCTGGGACCCCCCCAAATCCCCCCAAAATCCCCCAAAACCCTTCTGGGACCCCCTCAATCCCCCCAGAACCCACCAAGTGTCACCCAGGACCCCCAAAATCCCCCCCAAAATCTCCCCAAATCCCCACTGGAACCCCCCAAATCTCCCCCAGGACCCCCCAAAAACCCCTCTGGAACCCCAAAATCCCCCCTAAAACCCCTCTGGGAACCCCCAAATCCCCCCAAATCCCTTCAGGACCCCCCAAAATCCCCCCAGATCCCCAATGGAACCCCCCAAAACCCCTCTGGGACCCCCAAAATCCCCATCAAATCCGCTCCAGGATCCCCAAAATCCCTCCCAAAACCTCCCAAATCCACCCCAAAACCCCTTTGGGACCCCCCCAAATCTGCCTAAATCCCCTCTGGGACCCCCCAGAACCCCCCGAAATCTCTCTGGGACCCCCCAAATCCCTCTGGGACCCTCAAAACCTTTCTGGGACCCCCCAAAATCTCCCCCAAAACCCCACAAATCCACCACAAGTGACCTCAAAATTCCCCAAATCTGCCCCAAACCCCTCTGGGACCCCCCAAAATCTGCCTAAATCCCTTCCAGGACCCCCCAAAATCCCTTCCAGGACCCCCCAAAATCCCTCTGGGACCCCCCAAATCCCCCCAGATCACCCCAAATTTCACCCAGGAACCCCAAAATCCCCCCCAAAATCTCCCCAAAACCCCTCTGAGACCCCAAAAATCCTCCCAAAACCCCTCTGGGAACCCCCAAATCCCCTCTGGGACCCCCCAAATCCCCTCTAAAACCCCTCTGGGACACCCAAATGCCCCCCAGGACCCCCCAAATCCTTCCCAGATCACCCCAAAACCCCTCTGGGAACCCCCAAATCCCCCAAATGCCGCCTAGGACCCCCAAAATCCCCCCCAAAACCCCACAAATCTGTCACAAGTGACCCCAAAATCTCCCCAAAACCCCTCTGGGACCCCCCAAATTCCCCCAAAACCCCTCTGGGACCCCCAAATCCCTTCCAGGACCCCCCAAAGTCTTTCTGAGACCCCAAATACCCCCCAAAACCCCCAAATCCACCACAAGTCACCCCAAAATCTCCCCAAATCCGCCCCAAACCCCTCTGGGACCCCCCCAAACCCCTCTGGGACCCCCCAAAATCTCCCCAAAATGCCCCCAAATCCTTTCAGGGCCCCCCCCATCTCTCACCGAGCCTCGTGGGGGCTCCACGAGGACCCCCCCCAGCTCCACGGTGGCCGCGGCCCCGAAGGTTTGGGGGTCAGGTCCCGGGAGCGCCCCCCAAACGTCACCGAGAGGTTCCGGGCCCAGAGCAGAATTTTGGGGTCCCCCTGGAGGGGCCAGCGAAGGGGGGGGGGCACCTCCGGCCCCTCCCCCTCCCCCCCCAGGGCCAGGAGACCCCGGCGGGGAACCCCAAAATCCAGGGGGGGGGGGCACGGGGGGGGCCTGGAATGGGGAACAAAGGGGGGGGGGAAAAGGTGAGGGGGACCCCAAAAATGGGGAGGGGGGGTCCCAAAAATGGGGGGGGGGGGGTCCTAAAATGGGGGGTCCCAAAAATGGGGGGGGGGTCTTAAAAATGGGGAGGGGTCCTAAAAATGGGGGGGGGTCCCAAAAATGGGGAGGGGTCTTAAAAATGGGGAGGGGTCCTAAAAATGGGGAGGGGGGGTCCTAAAAATGGGGGGGGTCCCAAAAATGGGGAAGGTCCTAAAAATGGGGGGGGTCCCAAAAATGGGGGGGGTCCTAAAATTGGGGAGGGTCCTAAAAATGGGGGGGGTCCTAAAAATGGGGAGGGGGTCCCAAAAATGGGGAGGGGTCCTAAAAATGGGGAGGGGGGGTCCTAAAAATGGGGAGGGTCCCAAAAATGGGGGGGGTCCCAAAAATGGGGGGGTCCCAAAAATGGGGAGGGGTCCTAAAAATGGGGGGGTCCTAAAAATGGGGAGGGTCCTAAAATGGGGGGTCCCAAAAATGGGGGGGGGTCCCAAAATGGGGAGGGGGTCTCAAAATTGGGGGGAAATCCCAAAATTGGGGAGGGGGGAAAGGGTGGAAACACCAAATTTTGGGAAGGGAAGCCCTAAAATTGGGGAGGGGGAAAATGCGGGGACCCCAAAATTGGGGGAAAATATGAAAAATTAGGGGACAGGGAGAAACCCAAAATTTGGGGAAAGGGGACCCCAAAACTGGGGGGAAACCCCAAAATTGGGGGGAAATCTTAAAATTGGGGAGGGGGAAAATGGGGGGGACCCCAAAATTGGAGATTCCTAAAAGTGGGAGGGGAAGAAACCCCAAAATTGGGGAGGGGGGGGACCCTGAAATTGGGGGGAATCCTAAAATTGGGGAGGGGGGACCCCAAAATTGGGGGAAATATGAAAAATTAGGGGACAGGGAGAACCCAAAATTTGGGGAAAGGGGATCCCAAAACTGGGGGAAATCCCAAAATTGGGGTGGGGGGGAAATCCTAAAATTGGGAGAGGGGACCCCGAAATTGGGTGGGGGGACCCTAAAATTGGGGGGAAATCCAAAACTGGGGAGGGGGAAATGGGGGGGACCCCAAAATTGGAGATTCCTAAAACTGGGAGGGGAAGGGAACCTAAAATTGGGGAGGGGGGACCCTGAAATTGGGGGGAATCCTAAAATTGGGAGAGGGGGGAAAGGGTGGAACCCCAAATTTTGGGGAGGGGAAGCCCAAGATTAGGGTGGGGGGACCCCAAAATTGGGGGAAAATATTAAAATTAGGGGACAGGGAGAAACCCAAAATTTGGGGAAAAGGGACCCCAAAATTGGGGAAAAGCCCTAAAATTGGGGTGGGGGGGGAAATCCCAAAATTGGGGGAAATCCTAAAATTGGGGAGAAGGGACCCCGAAATTGGGTGGGGGAAAATCCTAAAATTGGGGAGGAGGGAAAGGGTGGAAACCCCAAATTTTGGGAAGGGAAGCCCAAAATTGGGGTGGGGGGAAATCCCAAAATTGGGGAGGGGGAAATGGGGGGGACCCCAAAATTGGAGATTCCTAAAAGTGGGAGGGGGAGAAACCCCAAAATTGGGGAGGGGGGACCCCAAAATTGGGGGAAAAACCCTGGAGGGGTCACTCAGGGTCACTCATTGGTCACTCATTGGTCACCCATTGGTCACTCATGGTCACTCAGGGTCACTCATTGGTCACTCTGTGGTCACTCTGTGGTCACTCATTGGTCACTCATTGTCACTCATGGTCACTCAGGGTCACTCATTGGTCACTCTCTGGTCATTCATGGTCACTCATGGTCACTCAGTGGTCACTCTCTGGTCACTCTCTGGTCACTCTCTGGTCACTTCATGGTCACCCTTTGGTCACTCATTGGTCACTCATTGGTCACCCATTGGTCACTCATTGGTCACTCATTGGTCACTCATGGTCACTCATGGTCACCCATTGGTCACTCATTGGTCACTCTCTGGTCACTCAGTGGTCACCCATTGGTCACTCTCTGGTCACCCATTGGTCACCCATTGGTCACTCAGGGGTCACTTATTGGTCACTCTCTGGTCATTCATTGGTCACTCAGTGGTCACTCAGTGGTCAGTGTCACTCAGTGGTCACTCAGGGGTCACTCATTGGTCACCCATTGGTCACCCATTGGTCACTCATGGTCACTCAGTGGTCACTCATGGTCACTCATTGGTCACTCTCTGGTCACATCAGTGTCACTCAGTGGTCAGTGGTCAGTGGTCACTCATTGGTCACCCATTGGTCACTCAGTGGTCACTCTCTGGTCACTCATTGGTCACTCATTGGTCACTCAGTGGTCACTCAGTGGTCACTCATTGGTCACCCATTGGTCACTCAGGGTCACTCATTGGTCACTCAGTGGTCACTCTCTGGTCACTCATTGGTCACTCATCGGTCATTCATGGTCACCCATTGGTCACTCAGTGGTCAGTGGTCAGTGGTCAGTGGTCACTCATTGTCACTCAGTGGTCAGTGGTCACTCAGTGGTCACTCATTGGTCACTCATTGGTCACTCATGGTCACTCAGGGTCATTCATTGGTCACTCATTGGTCACTCAGTGGTCACTCAGTTGGTCAGTGGTCACTCTATGGTCACCCATTGGGTCACTCAGTGGTCACTCATGGTCACCCATTGGTCACTCAGGGTCACTCAGTGGTCACTCATTGGTCACTCCTGGTCACATCTCTGGTCACTCTGTGGTCACTCAGTGGTCACTCATGGTCACTCATGGTCACTCATTGGTCACTCTGTGGTCAGTGGTCACAATCATTGGTCACTCAGTGGTCACTCAGTGGTCAGTGGTCAGTGTCAGTGGTCAGTGGTCACCCATTGGTCACTCAGTGGTCACTCAGTTGGTCACCCATTGGTCACTCAGTGGTCAGTGGTCAGTGGTCAGTGGTCAGTGGTCACCCATTGGTCACTCATTGGTCACTCATGGTCACTCAGTGGTCACTCATGGTCACTCATTGGTCACTCTATGGTCACCCATTGGTCACTCAGTGGTCACCCATTGGTCACTCAGTGGTCACTCTCATGGTCCACTCAGTGTCACTCAGTGGTCAGTGGTCAGTGGTCACTCATTGGTCACCCATTGGTCACTCAGTGGTCACTCTCTGGTCACTCATTGGTCACTCAGTGGTCACTCAGTGGTCACCTCAGTGGTCACCCATTGGTCACTCAGTGGTCACTCTCTGGTCACTCTATGGTCACCCATTGATCACTCAGTGGTCAGTGGTCACTCATTGGTCACTCAGTGGTCACTCTCTGGTCACTCATTGGTCACTCAGTGGTCACGTCAGTGGTCACTCAGTGTCACTCATTGGTCACTCAGTGGTCAGTGGTCACTCAGTGGTCAGTGGTCATTGGTCAGTGGTCACTCAGTGGTCAGTGGTCACCCATTGGTCACCCATTGGTCACATCATGGTCACTCAGGTGTCACTCAGTGGTCAGTGGTCACTCATTGGTCACCATTGGTCACTTCAGATTGGTCACTCATTGGTTCACCCATGGTCACTCATTGGTCACTCAGTGTCACTCAGTGGTGACTCGGTCACTCATTGGTCACCCATTTGTCACCCATTGGTCACTCTCTGGTCACTGTGGTCAGTGGTCACTCCTGGTCACTCAGTGGTCATTGGTCACTCATTGATCAGTGGTCACATCCTGGTCACTCTCTGGTCACTCAGTGGTCCACTCAGTGGTCACCCATGGTCACTCAGGGGTCACTCATTGGTCACCCATTGGTCACTCGGTCACTCATTGGTCACTCATTGGTCACTCAGTGTCACCCATTGGTCACTCAGTGGTCACTCATTGGTCACTCTATGGTCACCCATTGGTCACTCAGTGGTCACCCATTGGTCACTCAGTGGTCACCCATTGGTCACTCAGTGGTCACTCAGTGTCACCCATTGGTCACATCAGTCACTCAGTGGTCACTCATGGTCACTCAGTGGTCACTCATTGGTCACTCAGTGGTCACTCAGTGGTCAGTGGTCACTCAGTGGTCACTCCTGGTCACTCACCGTGGCCCTGTGCCCGGTGAACAGCGCCGTGTACGGGAGCTGCTCCTCCTGCAGCACCTGCAGCACCTCCCCCAGCACCGCGTCTGACAGGCACCAAAACACCCCCAAAATCACCCCAAAATTCACCCCAAATTCACCCCAAAATCACCCCAAAATCACCCAAAATCACCCCAAAATTCATCCCAAATCCACCCCAAAACTGACCCAAAAACTGCCCCAAATCAGCCCAAATTCACCCCAAAATTCACCCCAAATTCACCCCAAAATTCACACCAAATTCATGCCAAAAATCCACCCCAAATCACCCCAAAGTCACCCCAAAATCACCCCAAAACTGCCCCAAAAACTGCCCCCAAAACACCCCCAAATTCACCCCAAAATCACCCCAAAAAATCACCCCAAATTCACCCCAAAATCACCCCCAAATCCACCCCAAATCCACCCCAAATTCAGCCCAAATTCAGCCCAAATTCAGCCCAAAATTCAGCCCAAATTCAGCCCAAAATCACCCCAAATTCACCCCAAATTCACCACCAAAAACTGCCCTGAAAACTGACCCAAAATACCCAAAATTAACCCCAAAACTGCCCCAAACCCACCCCAGTCCCTCCCAGTCCCTCCCAGTTTGTTCCAGTCCCTCCAGTCCCTCCCAGTCTATCCCAGTCCATCCCAGTCCCTCCCAGTTTGTTCCCAGTCCATCCAGTCCATCCCAGTCCCCTCCCAGTCCCCCCCAGTCCCCCCCAGTCCATCCCAGTCCCTCCCAGTCCCTCCCAGTCCCCCCCAGTCCATCCCAGTCCCTCCCAGTCCCTCCCAGTCCATCCCAGTCTCACCGTTCCTGCTCAGGGCCTCTCTGGGTCCCATCAGGCCGGAGCTGGGGGGGAGGGGAGGGACAGTCAGGGGGGTGGGTCCCTATAGGGCCCATATGGGGTCACTCTATGGGGTCACTATAGGGTCACTCTGTGGGGTCACTCTGTGGGGGTCACTCTATGGGGCCCCTATGGGGTCTCTATGGGGCAGCCCCACTCTGGGGTCCCTATGGGCTCTCTATAGGATCCCTATGGGGTCCCTATGGGGTCACTCACCCCCGGCTATGGGGCAGCCCCACTCTGGGCTCTCTATGGGGTCCCTATGGGGTCCCTATGGGTTTCTATGGGTCACTCACCCCCGGCTATGGGGCAGCCTCACTCTGGGCTCTCTATGGGGTCCCTATGGGGTCCCTATGGGGTCACTCACCCCCGGCTATGGGGCAGCCCCACTGTGGGGTCTCTATGGGGTCTCTCTGGGGTCTCTATGGGGTCCCTATGGGGTCACTCACACCCCGGCTATGGGGCAGCCCCACTCTGGGCTCTCTATGGGCTCTCTATGGGGTCTCTATGGGGTCCCTATGGGGTCACTCACCCCGGCCTATGGGGCAGCCCCACTGTGGGGTCTCTCTGGGGTCTCTATGGGGTCTCTATGGGGTCCCTATGGGGTCACTCACCCCCGGCTATGGGGCAGCCCGACTGTAGTCTCTCTATAGGGTCTCTATGTGTTTCTATGGGTCACTCACCCCCGGCTATGGGGCAGCCCCACTGTGGTCTCTCTATAGGGTCTCTATAGGGTCCCTATAGGGTCACTCACCCCCGGCTATGGGGCAGCCCCACTGTGGTCTCTCTATAGGGTCCCTATGGGTTTCTATGGGTCACTCACCCCCGGCTATGGGGCAGCCCCACTCTGGGCTCTCTATAGGGTCTCTATAGGGTCACTCACCCCCCGGCTATGGGGCAGCCCCACTCTGGGCTCTCTCTATAGGGTCCCTATGGGGTCACTCACCCCCGGCTATGGGGCAGCCCCACTCTGGGCTCTCTATGGGGTTTCTATGGGCTCTCTCTATGGGGTTTCTATGGGTCACTCACCCCCAGCTATGGGGCAGCCCCACTCTGGGCTCTCTATAGGATCCCTATGGGCTCTCTATGGGTCACTCAGCCTCGGCTATGGGGCAGCCCCACTCTGGGCTCTCTATGGGGTCTCTATAGGGTCTCTATAGGGTCCCTGTGGGTCACTCACCCCCGGCTATGGGGCAGCCCCACTCTGGGCTCTCTATGGGTTTCTATGGGGTCTCTATGGGTCCCTGTGGGTCACTCACCCCCGGCTATGGGGCAGCCCCACTCTGGGCTCTCTATAGGGTCTCTATAGGGTCTCTATAGGGTCTCTATAGGGTCACTCACCCCCGGCTATGGGGCAGCCCCACTCTGGGGTCCCTATGGGGTCTCTATAGGGTCCCTATGGGTCCTGTGGGTCACTCACCCCTGGCTATGGGGCAGCCCCCACTCTGGGCTCTCTATGGGCTCTCTATGGGGGTCTCTATGGGGTCCCTATGGGGTCACTCACCCCCGGCTATGGGGCAGCCCCACTCTGGGCTCTCTCTATGGGGTTTTCTATGGGTCACTCACCCCTGGCTATGGGGCAGGCCCCACTCTGGGCTCTCTCTATGGGGTCCCTGTGGGTCACTCACCCCCGGCTATGGGGCAGCCCCACTCTGGGCTCTCTCTATGGGCTCTCTCTGGGGTCTCTATAGGGTCTCTATGGGGTCACTCACCCCCGGCTATGGGGCAGCAACCACTCTGGGGTCCCTATGGGGTCACTCACCCCCGGCTATGGGGCAGCCCCACTCTGGGCTCTCTATGGGTTTCTATGGGGTCTCTATGGGTCCCTGTGGGTCACTCACCCCCGGCTATGGGGCAGCCTCACTGTGGGCTCTCTCTATGGGGTCCCTATGGGTCTCTATAGGGTCACTCACCCCCGGCTATGGGCAGCCCCACTCTGGGGTCCCCATGGGGTCTCTATGGGGTCTCTATGGGGCAGCCCCACTCTGGGCTCTCTATAGGGTCCCTATGGAGTCCCTATAGGGTCACTCACCCCCGGCTATGGGGCAGCCCCACTCTGGGCTCTCTATGGGGTCCCTATGGAGTCCCTATAGGGTTACTCACCCCTGGCTATGGGGCAGCCCCACTCTGGGCTCTCTCTATGGGGTCCCTATAGGGTCACTCACCCCCGGCTATGGAGCAACCCCACTGTGGTCTCTCTATAGGATCCCTATGGGTTTCTATGGGTCACTCACCCCCGGCTATGGGGCAGCCCCACTCTGGGCTCTCTATGGGTTCCCTATGGGGTCTCTATGGGGTCACTCACCCCCGGCTATGGGGCAGCCCCACTCTGGGCTCTCTATGGGCTCTCTATAGGGTCTCTATAGGGTCTCTATAGGGTCACTCACCCCCGGCTATGGGGCAGCCCCACCTCTGGGCTCTCTATGGGGTCCCTATGGGGTCCCTATGGGTTTCTATGGGTCACTCACCCCCGGCTATGGGGCAGCCCCCACTGTGGTCTCTCTATAGGCTCTCTATAGGGTCTCTATAGGGTCCCTATGGGGTCACTCACCCCCGGCTATGGGGCAGCCCCACCAGCAGCACCGTGGGCTCCCCGGGGTCCGCTCTGGGGCTCCGTGCGGTTCCTGCGCAGCCCCCCCAGGGCCCCCCCCCCGGGCAGGCTCAGTGGGGTGGGGGCGCCCAGGGCCCTCTGCAGGGTCAGGGGCAGCGCGGCCGCCGCCGCCCCCCGACAGCCCAGGGCAGGGCCAGGGCCGAGCCCGCCGAGCCCAGGGCATCCTGGAACAGAGCAGGCCTGAAATAGCTCAAATTCAACCCAAAATCACCCCAAAGTCACCCCAAAGTCACCCCAAATTCACCCCAAAAACCCCACCCAGGGCGGGGTCAGGGCTGACCACGTGACCCACTGACCCCGCCCCCTCCATTGCTAACCCTTCCCCAAGCCCCTCCCCCCGTGGTTGCCCCTCCCCCTTGGCCCCTCCCCCATCTCACCAGACGCACCCCCATGGCCACGCCCCCTGTCCCATTGCTCCTCCCCCTGCCTTGTTGGCCCCTCCCTTTTGGCTCCTCCCATGACCCCTCCTCATTGGCCCCTCCCCCTCTGTTGTTGCCCCTCCCCTATTGGCCCCTCCCCCTCCCATGCCCCTCCCCCACAGCCCCACCCCACTGAGCCCTCCCCCACTGACCCCTCCCCTTCTCCCTTGACTCCTCCCCATTCCCATTGGCCCCTCCCTCTCTGTTATTGGCCCCTCCCACTCCCCATAACCCCTCCCCCATTGCCTCCTCCCCCTTGTTGATCCCCTCCCCCTTCCCATGGCCCCTCCCCCTCCCTTGTTGGCCCCTCCCACTCTTCTGCTGGCCCCTCCCCCCACTGACCCCTCCCAAGGGCCCCTCCTTCCCACCATGGCCCCCTCCCCCTTTGGCCCCTCCCTCCCCCTTTGGCCCCGCCCTCCCCTTTTGCTCCCTCCCCCTGTGGCCCATCCCCCTTTTGCCCCCCCTCTGGCCCCGCCCCCTTTGGCCCGTCCGTCCCCCTTTGGCCCCTCCCTCACCTGATGGCCCCCTCCCCCTTTGGCACTGACCCAGTTTGGCCCCTCCCCCTTTGGCCCCTCCCTCCCCTTTTGGCCCCTCCCTCTCTGGCCCCTCCCCCTTTTGGCCCCTCCCTCACATCATGGCCCCTCCCTCTTTGACCCCATCCCTCCCCCTTTGGCCCCTCCTTCTTTGGCCCTTCCCCCTTTTGGCCCCTCCCTCCCCCTTTTGGCCCCTCCCTCCCCCGATGGCCCCTCCCCCTTTGGCCCCTCCCCAGGGCCCTTCCCACCCCTTTTGGCCCCCTCCCTCACCCCATGACCCCTCCCCCTTTGCCCCTCCCTCCCCTTTGGCCCCTCCTCCTTTGGACCCTCCTCCTTTGGTCCCTCCCTCCCCATTTACCCCATTACCCTTTGGCCCCTCCCCTTTGGCCCCTCCTATCTGGCCCCGCCCCTTTTGGCCCCGCCCCTCACCCTCAGTTTGGGGAAGGCTCCGTTGGGTTCGTTCCCGAACACGGCCCGAACGCGGTCAGGTCATCCACGGACAGCTGGGGGAACGACCACGGTCTGGGGACTTTGGGGGATTTTTGGGGACTTTTGGGGACTTTTGGGGACTTTTGGGGTTTCTGAGATTTTTTGGCATTTTTTGGGGGATTTTTGGGGCTTTTTTTCGGTATTTTTAGTGTTATTTTTGGGATATATTTAAGGAATTTTTGGGGTACTTTTTTGGTTATTTTTGGGATATTTTTGGGGTTATTGGCTCAGCTGGTCCTGCAGGAACAGCAGCACCGTGCGGGGCAAGGTTTGGGGATATTTTGGGGATATTTTGGGATATTTTTAGGGTATTTTTAGGGGTTTTTGGCTCACCTGGTCCTGCAGGAACAGCAGCACCGTGCGCGGGCCCCGGCGCAGCCCCGGCTCCAGCAGCTGCTGCAGCTCGGCTCCGACAGAGCCCGGCCCCCGGGGAGGGATGGGGGAGACCACAGGGACCTGGGGACCCCAAAATCACAAACAGGGACCCAAAAATCATAAACAGGAACCCCAAAATTATCCACGGGGAGCCCAAATGCACCCTGGGAACCCCAAAATCATCCACAGACCCCAAATCAGCCCCGAACCCCCCCGAGCAACTTTGGGGCCTCTCAGCCCCCCCCCAATTCTCTTAAAGTTGCCTCAAATCCCCCAAAAAAAGGCCCAAATCCCCCCCAAAAAGGCCCAAATCTCCCCCAGGCTCCCCTGAGGGCTCCTTGAGGCCTCTCAGCGCCCCTAAATCCCATCAGCCCCCCCCAAATCCCCTCAAAACTCCCTCAAATCTCCTCAAAACAGACCCAAATCCCCCGTACAAGACCCCCGAGCCCTCTCAGTCTCTCCTAATTGATATTGAAGGCATCTCAGCCGCCCAAATCCCCTCAAAACTCCCTCAAATCTCCCCCAAAAAGGCCCAAATTCCTCCCCAAAAGAGCCCTGAGCCTCCCTAAAACCCCCTGTGGGCTTCTTGAGGCCTCTCAGCGCCCCTAAACCCCCTCAGCACCCCAAGTCCCCTCAAAACTCTCTCAAATCTCCCCAAAAAAGCCCCAGCTCTCCCTAAAAAAGGCCCAAATTCCCCCCAGGCTCCCCTGAGGGCTTTTTGAGGTGTCTCAGCGCCCCTAAATCCCCTCAATCTCCCCCAAAAGATCCCCAAGCTCTCCCAAAACCCCTCCTGAGGCCTCTCAGCCCCCCCAAAACCCCTCAGCCCCCCAAAATCTCCCCAAATAAAGATTCAAATAACCCCAAAAAACGACCAATCTCCCACAAAGCCCCTCCGAGGCCTCTCAGCTCCCTCAAATCCCCTCAGAAGTCCCCAAATCTCCCCAATAAAAGCCCCAAATCCCCCTGAAAGATCCCCAAACCCCCCAGAACCCCCCGAAGCCACTCAGGGCCCCCAAATCCCCTCAAAACTCCCTCAAACCTCCCCAAAAAAGCCCCAAATCCCCCCTCCCCCGAACCCTCTCGCACCGTTCCGTGCTCCAGACCAGCAGCGGGAGCTGCGCGGCCCCCGCGGGCCCCGGCCCGGAGCGAGCCCGGCCAGGGCCGAGAGCAGCGCCCACAGCAAAGCCGCCATCTTGGAGCGTCCCCTCACGGCTCAGGCCACGCCCCCTCTGCGGCGGACACGCCCTCCTTGCGGCGACCACGCCCCGTCGGCTCGTGTGGACACGCCTACTACGCTGAGGCCACGCCCTCTTTGCAGTGAACACGCCCCCTCAGAGCAGTGGTCACGCCCCTCCTGCGGCGGGCACGCCCCCTCAGCGCAGGGCGGCCACGCCCCCTCAGAGCAGCAGCCACGCCCCCTGTGCGCCTGTCACTCCCCTGCAGCCACAGCCGCCATCTTGGAACGTCCCCTCACGGCACAGGCCACGCCTCCTCTGCGGCGGTCACGCCCCCTACGCGCGCGCGGACACGCCCACTCCGTGGCGAACGCGCCCCCTCTGAGGTGGACACGCCCCCTCAGAGCATCGGACACGCCTACTCGGGAGTGGTCACGCCCCCTCTGCAGCGGTCACGCCCCTCAGAGAAGTAGCCACGCCCCCTCTGCGGCTGGCCGCTCCACTCCAGTGCTTGGGGCCAACGCCCCTGTGAAAAATGCGCATATTTTATGATTAGCTTTTCACAAATATTTAAATGTATATTGTGCAAAATGCATGTGTTTTATGATTGGCTTTTGGCAAATATTCACATGAATATTATATGTGTTGTGTGTTAGAAAGTAATGCTGTGTCAATTCTCTTAAGTTCTGTGTTAAAAATAGTTTTAGGTTATCAAAAATGTTAAAATAGAAATGATGCTATGTAGAATTCTTTTTTAAAGAAAGACTCGCAGCGAGATAGCAACCACAGGACACCGGAATCTTTCAGAGAAAGAGAATTTATTGATTTCTTATCAGAAGAAAATGAACTTGTTCCTGCCTCAAAGGCGCTGTTAGGATTCGGAGGAAGAAGCTGACGATGACCAGACAGAATCCTGTGTTTGAATGGAATTTATGCATCATGGATGAGATGTATGAATATGCAACAGGTTATTGTTTTTAAGCGTTACTCCTCTGTTAACGTGTGTCCTTTTTTGAGCTTATTTTTCCCAAAATAAGGACTGTCCATAACTCTTTGTTTTTATTATCTCGTTTTGTCCTAATTCAAATCGCCCGAATTATTATTACTCGAATTATAAAACTATTTTTATAACCATTTTATTACTATCAAACTTTTAAAATTTAAAAACAAGCGATTGGTGGTTTTCACACGCCCCCCTCTGCAGGGGCCGCGCCCCTCAATGCGTGCGGTCACGCCCCCTCTGCGAAGACCACGCCCATTTCTGCGGGCGGACCACGCCCCTTTTAGCGCGCCCACTCCTCAACAGCCACGCCCCTCAGCTAAATGGGTCACGCCCCTTTGCATTGGCTACGCCCCCTTTATCGGCCACGCCCCCTCAGCGCGCGCCGTCACGTGTAGGAGGGGCGGTCACGTGCAGGAGGCGCTGTCACGTGTAGGAGGCGCGGTCACGTGTCTGAGGTACTGGCGCGTGTTTGGCGTGAGGCCACGCCCACCCCTCTGTGTGGCCACGCCCACTCCCGGTCCCGCCCCCTCCTCAATCCCCTCAGGGAGCCCCAAATTCCACCGGGCCCGAAATTCCCTCAGAGAGCCCCAAAATCCCCTCAGGGATCCCCAAAATTCCTTCAGAGCGCCCCCAAATCCACCGGGGACCCTAAATCTCCTCAGAGAGGCTCAAAATCCCCTCAGAGAGCCCAAAATCCCCTCAGGAAGCCCAAAATTCCTTCAGAGAACCCTGAAATCCACCTGACCGCAAAATCCCCTCAGGAAGCTCCAAAATCCCCTCAGGGATCCCAAAAAATCACCAAAAGAGCCCCAAAAATCCCCTCAGGGACCACCAAAATCCACTGGGCCCAAAAGTTCCTTCAGGGAGCCCCAAAATCCCCTCAGAGAGCCCCAAAATCCACCAGACCCCCAAAATCCCCTCAGGGAGCTCCAAAATCCATCGGGGCCACAAAATTCCCTCAGAGATCCCCAAAAATCACCAAAGCAGCCCCAAAAAATCCCCTCAGGGATCCCCAAAATCCAGTGGGGCCCAGAATTCTCTAGAGAGCCCCAAAATCCCCTCAGGGATCCCCCAAATCCCTTCAGGGACCCCCAAAATCCCCTCACAGAACCCCAAAAGCCACCGGAGGCCTAAAATTCCTTCAGAGAACCCAAAAATCTCCTCGCTGACCCCCAAATTCCACCGGGCCCCAAATTTTCCCCAGAGAACCCCAAAATCCCCTCAGGAAGCCCAAAAATCCCTTCAGAGAACCCCAAAATCCAACAGGGCCAAAAAATCACCAAGAGAGCCCCAAAATTCTGTCAGGGAGCCCCAAAATCCCCTCAGAGACTCCAAAATCCCCTCAGGGAACCCTGAAATCCACCAGGCCCCAAAATCCCCTCAGAAACCCCTAAAAATCACCGAGAGAGCCCCAAAATCCCCCCAGGGAGCCCCAAAATCCACCTGGGCCCCAAAATTCCTTCAGGGAACCCCAAAATCTCCACAGAGAGCCCCAAAATCCCCTCAGGAATCCCAAAATCCCCTCAGGGATCTCCAAAATCCCCTCGGGGAGCCCAAAATTCCTTCAGGGAACCCCAAAATCCACCAGGCCCCAAAATTCCGTCAGGGAACCCCAAAATCTCCCCAGAGAGCCCCAAAATCCCCCCAGGGATCCCTAAATTCCACCTGGGCCCCAAAATTCCCCTCAGAGATCTCCAAAAATCACCAAGAGAGCCCCAAATTCCACCTGGGCCCCAAAATCCCCTCAGAGATCCCCAAAATCCCCTCAGGAATCCCCGAAATTCAACGGGCCCCAAAATCCCCTCAGAAACCCCTAAAAATCACCAAGAGAGCCCCAAAATCCCCTCGGGGAGCCCCAAAATTCCTTCAGGGAACCCCAAAATCTCCCCAGAGAGCCCCAAAATCCCCTCAGAGATATCCAAAAATCATCAAGAGAGCCCCAAATTCCACCTGGGCCACAAAATTCCCCTCAGGGATCCCCAAAATTCCCTCAAAAATCCCCTCAGGGATCCCCAAAATTCAACGGGCCCCAAAATCCCCTCAGAAACCCCTAAAAATCACCAAGAGAGCCCCAAAATCCCCTCAGGGAGCCCCAAAATCCACCGGGCCCCAAAATTCCTTCAGGGAACCCCAAAATCCCCTCAGAGAGCCCCAAAATCCCCTCAGGAATCGCAAAATTCCTTCAGAGAACCCTGAAATCCACCTGGCCCCAAAATCCTCTCAGAGAACCGCAAAATCCCCTCAGGAAGCTCCAAAATCCCCTCAGAGAACACCAAAAATCACCAAAAGAGCCCCAAAAATCCCCTCAGGGATCCCCGAAATTCAACGGGCCCCAAAATCCCCTCAGAAACCCCTAAAAATCACCGAGAGAGCCCCAAAATCCCCTCAGAGAGCCCCAAAATCCACCTGGGCCCCAAAATTCCTTCAGGGAACCCCAAAATCCCCTCAGGGATCCCCAAAATCCCCTCAGGGATCCCCGAAATTCAACGGGCCCCAAAATCCCCTCAGCAACCCCTAAAAATCACCAAGAGAGCCCCAAAATCCACCTGGGCCCCAAAATTCCCCTCAGGGATCCCCAAAATCCCCTCAGGGATCCCCGAAATTCAACGGGCCCCAAAATCCCCCTCAAAGAGCCCCAAAAATCACTGAGAGAGCCCCAAAATCCCCTCAGGAACCCCAAAATCCCCTCAGGGAGCCCAAAATTCCTTCAGGGAACCCCAAAATCCCCTCAGAGACCCCAAAATCCACCGGGGCCACAAAATCCCCTCAGAGAGCCCCAAAATCCCCTCAGGGATCCCCGAAATCCACCAGGCCCCAAAATCCCCTCAGAAACCCCTAAAAATCACTGAGAGAGCCCCAAAATCCCCTCAGAGAGCCCCAAATTCCACCTGGGCCCCAAAATTCCATCAGGGAATCCCAAAATCTCCCCAGAGAGCCCCAAAATCCCCTCAGGGATCCCCAAAATCCCCTCAGGAATCCCTGAAATTCAACGGGCCCCAAAATCCCCTCAGAAACCCCTAAAAATCACCGAGAGAGCCCCAAAATCCCCTCAGACAGCCCCAAAATAAACCGGGCCCCAAAATTCCTTCAGGGAACCCCAAAATCTCCCCAGAGAGCCCCAAAATCCCCTCAGGGAGCCCCAAAATCCACTGGGGCCACAAAATCCCCTCAGAGAGCCCCAAAATCCCCTCAGGAATCCCCGAAATTCAATGGGCCCCAAAATCCCCTCAGAAACCCCTAAAAATCACTGAGAGAGCCCCAAAATCCCCTCAGACAGCCCCAAAATCCACCTGGGCCCCAAAATTCCCCTCAGGGATCCCCAAAATCCCCTCAGAGACCACAAAATCCCCTCAGGGATCCCCAAAATCCCCTCAGGGATCCCCGAAATTCAACGGGCCCCAAAATCCCCCTCAAAGAGCCCCAAAAATCACCAAGAGAGCCCCAAAATCCCCTCAGGGAGCCCCAAAATCCACTGGGCCCCAAAATTCCCCTCAGGGATCCCCAAAATCCCCTCAGGGAGCCCAAAATTCCACCTGGGCCACAAAATCCCCCTCAGAGAGCCCCAAAAATCACCAAGAGATCCCCAAAATTCCCTCAGGGATCCCCAAATTTCCCCCAGAGAGCCCCAAAAATTCCCCTGAGGTCTTTGCCTCAGGGATGGGGGTTTTTTTTTCCTGAAAAAAATTGGATTTTTTCCCCTCAGAAAAAGGGGATTTGCCTCAAAAAAAGGAAATTTTTACTCAAAACCAAGAAATGTGTTTTCCTTCAGAATAACCAAACCGTGTTTTATTAAAGGAAATGGAGGATTCCTCAAAAAAAAAAAGGGATTTACCTCAAAAAAAAAGAATTTTTTTGGTTTGGAACAGAGATATGAGTTGGGGGTTAGGGGAAGTATCGAAAAATTTATTAATTATTACAAAATTAATTTTTTTTCCTCAGGAAAAGGGGTATTTACCTCAAAAAAGAGGTAAATCTTTTAAAAGAGGTAAATGTTTTAAAAAGAGGTGATTTATAAGATAAATTTTCCTCAAAATGGATGTTTTTGCTCAAAAAAAAAAAACCACCGAGGGATTTTGCCTCAATTTTGAAAAATGAGGGAGTTACATTAAAAAAAAAGAGGATTTTTAAATAAATGAGGGGTTTGTGTAAGGGAAAAAAAATAAACAAAAAACAAAACAAAACAAAAAAACAAAACAAAACAAAAAAAACCCAAAAAAAACCCAAAAAAAAAACCAAAAAAACTTTTTTTTTTCTATAAAAAGTTTATTTGCCTTAAATTTGCTGCTCAGGAGGATTTTCCTCAGGAAAAGGGATGTTTACTTAAAAAAAATTAAAGTTTTTACTCAATAAAGAGAGGGTTTCCCTCATAGAAAAGAATACAAAACAAACAACCAATTTTCCCCTAAAAGAAAAAAAAAATCCCTCAAAAAAAAGAAAAATTTTAAAAAGTGGAAAAATAATTTTTTTTTAATGTGATTTTTTTTCACTGTTAAAGGTATATTCACATCAGGGATGAGTGGGAATATCCTCAAAAAAGGAGGATTTTATTTCAGGAAAAGGGAAATTTCTTAAAATTATGGGTTTTTTCTCAAAAAGGAAGTTTTCACTCAAAAAAGGAATTTTTTTCCCCTCAAAAAATGAGTTTTATCTCAGGAAAAAAGACATTTACCTCCTGGGCACAGTGAATTGTTCTCAAAATTGAATATTCCCTCTCGAAAAGGGGATGATTACCTCAAAAAAAAATCCTTTTTAAAAAGTTTTGCCTAAAAAAAAGAAGTATTTATTCCAAGAAAAGGAGGTGTTTTCACCTCAAAAAAAAAAAGGGAATTTTTGCCTCAGGAAAAACGAGATTTACACCCAAAAAGGGGAAGGGAAAAAACAAAAAAAAGCGGGGATTTTACATCAGAAAAAGGGATTTTGTCACCTCAGAAAATGTGAATTTTACATTACAAAGGAGGTGTTTGCACCCCTGAGGAAAGAGGAATTTTCACCTCAAAATGGGGATTTTACCTCGGGAAATTTGCAGGATTTTATCTCCAAAAATGCAGAATTTACCTCAGGGGATTTTACCTCAAAAATTGAAACTTTACCTCAGAAAATGGAAACTTTACCTCAAAAAGAAAATGGAAAATTTACCTCAAAATATGGAAATTTTACCTCAAATAATGGAAACTACCTCAAAAAAATGGAAAATTTACCTCAGAAAATGGAAGCTTTACCTCAAAATTGGAAACTTTACCTCAAAATTGGAAACTTTACCTCAAAAAATGGAAAATTTATCTCAAAAAATGAAAACTTTACCTCAAAAATTGGAAAATTAACCTCAAAATGAAAAATTTACCTCAGAAAATTGAAAATTTATCTCAAAAATTTGAAAATTTACCTCAAAAATGGGAAATTTACCGCAAAAAATGGAAACTTTACCTCAAAAATTGGAAACTTTACCTCAAAAAATGGAAACTTTACCTCAAAAATTGAAAATTTATCTCAAAAATGGAAAATTTACCTCAGAAAATTGAAAATTTATCTCAAAAATTTGAAAATTTACCTCAGAAATGGAAAATTTACCTCAGAAAATGGAAACTTTACCTCAAAAATTGGAAACTTTACCTCAAAAATTGGAAACTTTATCTCAAAAAATTGAAAATTTACCTCAAATATTGGAAAATTTATCTCAAAAAATGAAAACTTTACCTGAGAAAATGGAAAATTTACCTCAGAAAATTGAAAATTTACCTCAGAAAATGGAAACTTTACATCAAAAAACGGAAACTTTACCTCAAAAAAAATGGAAAATTTACCTCAGAAAATTTAAAATATACCTCAAAAAATGGAAGCTTTACCTCAAAAATTGTAAGATTTATCTCAGAAAATTGAAACTTTACCTCAAAAAAAGGAAAATTTACCTCAGAAAATGGAAACTTCAATTCAAAAATGGAAACTTTACCTCAAAAATTGGAAAATCTACCTCAAAAATGGAAACTTTACCTGAGAAAATGGAAAGTTTACCTCAAAAAATGGAAAATTATCTCAAAAATGGAAAAATTACCTCAAAAATTGGAAAATTTCACCTCAAATAATGGAAACTACCTCAAAAAAATGGAGAATTTACCTCAGAAAATTGAAAATATATCTCAGAAAATGGAAACTTTACCGCAAAAATTGGAAAATGTACCTAAGAAAATGGAAGCTTTACCTCAAAAAATTGAAAATTTACCTCAGAAATTGGAAGTTTTATCTCACTCACTGATTTTTGAGGTTTCGGTTCTTCCTTTCAGCACAGATTTCACTTCATGAAGGTTTTTTTAATCTCAGCAAAGGTGAATTTTACCTCAGAAATGAGGCCTTTACCTCAAGAAAAGGCCGCGTTTACCTCACAAAAGGCCGCGTTTTACCACAAAAAAAGAACTTTTCACCTCAGGGTGCAGATTTTGCCTCAGAAATGTAAAATTTACCTTGAAAAGGCCTTGTTCTCTCGGTGAAAGGGGCATTTTGCCTCAGAAAAGTGGGATTTTGCCTCAAAAAGGTGAATTTCACCTCACAAAAGGGCATTTCTCACCTCACAAAAGTTCATTTTTCACCTCACAAAAGGGCATTTTTCACCTCCTGAAGGGGTTTTTTCCCTCAGGACCAGGAATGGCTCCAGGGATCCCAGAGGAGGCTCCCGCACCCGCCCGAACCCCAAAAACCCAAACCCCGAAATCCTGAATCCCTCGAAATTCTGAAACCCCCAAAAACCCAAACCCCAAAATCCCGAATCCCTTGAAATTCTGAAACTCCGAAATCCAAACCCCAAAATCCCGCATCCCTTGAAATTCTGAACCCCCCCAAAACCCCAAACCCTCAAAATCCTGAATCCCCTGAAATTCTGAAACTCCGAAATCCAAACCCCAAAAAATCCTGAATCCCTCGAAATTCTGAACCCCCCAAAATCCTGAATCCCCCGAAATTCTGAAACTCCGAAATCCAAACCCCCAAAATCCTGAATCCCTTGAAATTCAGAAACTCCCAAAATCCAAACCCCGAAAAATCCAAAACCCAAAAACCCAAACCCCCAAAATCCTGAATCCCTCGAAATTCTGAACCCCCCAAAATTCAAACCCCAAAACCCAAACTCCCAAAATCCTGAATCCCCTGAAATTTTGAAACTCCGAAATCCTGAACCCCAAAAACCCAAACCCCAAAAAATCCCAAATCCCCAAAATCCTGAATCCCTCGAAATTCTGAAACTCCGAAATCCAAACCCCCAAAACCCAAACGCCGAAATCCTGAATCCCTCGAAATTCTGAAACCCCCAAAATCCAAACCCCCAAATCCTGAATCCCGCGAAATTCTGAACCCCCCAAAATCCAAACCCACAAAATCCTGAATCCCGCGAAATTCTGAATCCCGGGAAATCCTGAATCCCCAAAACTGTGAACCCCAAATCCCTGAACCCCCAAAATCCCTGAACCCCCCAAAATCCCTGAACCCTTAAAAATCTGAACTCCCAAAATCCCAAACCCCCAAAATCCCTGACCCCCCCCAAACCCCCAAAATCCCTGAACACCCAAAGTCCCTGAACCTCCCAAAATCCTGAATCCCCAAAAACCCTGAACCCCCAAAATCCCTGAGCTCCCCAAAAACCCTGAACCCGCCAAACCCCTGAACCCCTAAAAATCTGAACCCCCAAAAACCCAAACCCCAAAACCCCTGAAACCCCCAAATCCCTGAACTCCCCAAAACCCCTGAACCCCTAAAAATCCCGAACCCCCAAAACCCCTGAAACCCCCAAAATCCTTGAACCCCCAAAACCCTGAACCCCTAAAAATCTGAACCCTCAAAAACCTGAATCCCTCGAAATCCTGAATCCCCAAAACTGTGAACCCCAAATCACTGAACCCCCCAAACCCCTGAACCCCTAAAAATCTGAATCCCTCAAAATCCTGAACCCCCAAAATCCCGAACCCCAAAAATCCCTGAACTCCCCAAACCCCTGAACCCCCAAAATCCCAGACCCCCCAAAACCCCTGAACCCCTAAAAATCTGAACCCCCCAAAATCCCAAAGCCTCAAAACCCCTGACCCCCCAAAACCCCTGAACCCCTAAAAATCTGAATCCCTCGAAATCCCAAACCCCCCAAAATCCCAAACCCCCAAATCCCTGAACTCCCCCAAATCCCTGAACTCCCCAAAAACCTGAACCCCTAAAAATGTGAACCCCCAAGAACCTGAATCCCTCAAAATCCTGAACCCCTTGAAATCCTGAATCCCCAAATCCTTGAACCCCCCAAAATCCCTGAACCCTTAAAAATCTGAACTCCCAAAATCCCAAACCCCCAAAATCCCTGACCCCCCCCAAACCCCCAAAATCCCTGAACCTGCCAAACCCCTGAAAATCTGAACCCCCAAAAACCTGAATCCCTCAAAATCCTGAACTGCCAAAATCCCGAACCCCCAAAACCCCTGAAACCCCAAAATCCCTGAACCCCCCAAACCCCTGAACCCCCAAAGTCCCTGAACCCCCCAAAATCCCTGAACATCCAAAATCCGTGAACCCCCCAAAAACCCGAACCCCCCAAAATCCCTGAATTCCCCAAACCCCTGAACCCCCCAAAATCCCAAACCCCCAAAATCCCAAACCCCCAAAATCCCAAACCCCCCAAAACCCCTGAACCCCTAAAAATCTGAACCCCCCAAAATCCCAAAGCCTCAAAACCCCTGACCCCCCCAAAATCCCTGAACCCCCAAACCCCTGACCCCCCAAAAACCCCAACCCCTCCCAAACCCCCCCCAAAAAAACCCCTCCGAGTCCTTTTTAACCTCCAAAGTTTAATAATAATAAAAAAAATCATAATACAATAAAATAAGGGCCGGCCCCGCCCCCCCCGCTCCGAAGAGCTCGAGCCTCGTTAGTGTGGGGGAGGGGAGGGGGGGAGGGGCAGGGGGAGCCCCAAATCCGCCCCGCCCCCACCCCCACCCCCCCCAAATCCTATAAAAAACCCGGTGGGGGAGGGGCGGGGGGGAGGGGCTGGCCCTGCTGTGCTGGTTGGGGCCCCTCCCCCTCCATTTTGGGGCTCCCCCTCCCCATTTTGGGGGGGCTCCCCCTCCCCCATTCTGGGGGGGCTCCCCCTCCCCATTTTGGGGGCTCCCCCTCCCCGTTTTGGGGCCCCCCCGGGGCTGAACGATACAAAAGAAAGAAATGAAATAATTACATCGCGGGGGGGGGAGGGGAGAGGGGAGAGACCCCCACCCCCCCCCCCCAGCACCCCCAGCCCCAAATCGGGGGGGGGGGGGGGTGGGGATGGGGGGGAGGGGCTCAGGGTGAGGGGGCGGGGCCGGGCTGGCCCCTCCCAGTCCATCCCCACCGTGTCGGGCGCGTCCGTCGGTCCGTCCGTGTCTGTGTCTGTGTCTGTGTGTCCGAGCTGGGGGCGCCGCGTCACGAGTCCTGCGGGGCACAGGGGGGACAGGCCTGGAACCGCTGCACCCCAAAAACGCTGTACCCCAAAAACAACGCACCCCAAAAACAACGCACCCCAAAACTGCTGTACCCCAAAACTGCTGTACCCCAAAAAACAACTCTACCCCAAAAATCAATGCACCCCAAAACTGCTGCACCACAAAACCGCTGTACCCCAAAAACAACGCACCCAAAAAACAACTGTACCCTAAAATCACTGCACCCCAAAAACAGTGTACCACAAAATAACTGTGCCCCAAAACCGCTGCACCCCAAAAACAACGCACCCAAAAACCCCTGCACCCCAAAAACAACGCACCCAAAAACAACTGCACCCCAAAAACAACTGTACCCTAAAATCACTGTACCCCAAAAACAGTGTACCACAAAATAACTGTACCCCAAAACCGCTGTACCCCAAAACCGCTGCAACCCAAAAACATTGTACCCTAACACTACTGTACCCCAAAACTGCTGTACCCCAAAAACAACGCACCCCAAAAACAACTGCACCCCAAAAACAACGCACCCCAAAAACAACTGCACCTCAAAAACAACGCACCCAAAAACAACTGTACCCCAAAACCGCTGCACCCCAAAAACAACGCACCCAAAACTGCTGCACCCCAAAAACAACTGTACCCCAAAAACAACGCACCCAAAAACAACTGCACCCCAAAACTGCTGCACCCCAAAAACAACGCACCCAAAAACCCCTGTACCCCAAAAACAACGCACCCAAAAACAACTGCACCCCAAAAACAACTGTACCCTAAAATCACTGTACCCCAAAAACAGTGTACCACAAAATAACTGTACCCCAAAACCGCTGTACCCCAAAACCGCTGCAACCCAAAAACATTGTACCCTAACACTACTGTACCCCAAAACCGCTGTACCCCAAAACCGCTGTACCCCAAAACTGCTGCACCCCCAAACCAGCCCCATTGATCCCTGGACAGGGGGAACCCCCCAGAGCCGCTGCTCTGCACCCCAGAATCCTCCTGGACCCCCATTAACCCCATAATGTCCCCCATTAACCCCATAATGTCCCCCATTAACCCCTTCTGCACCCCTAATCCCCCCATTAACCCCCTCTGTGCCCCATTAACCCCTTCTGTACCCCAAAATCCCCCATTAACCCCTTCTGTACCCCATAACACCCCCATTAACCCCTTCTATGCCCCATTAACCCCTTCTGTACCCCATAATCCCATTAACCCCCTCTGCACCCCATTAACCCCTTCTGTACCCCATAATCCCCCCATTAATCCCTTCTATACCCCATAACACCCCCTCTAACCCCCTCTGTACCCCATAATCCCCCCCATTAACCCTCTCTGCTCCCCATTAACCCCTTCTGTGCACCCCAATCCCCCCTTTACCCCTTCTGCGCCCCATTAACCCCTTCTATACCCCACAACCCCCTCATTAACCCCCTCTGTGCCCCACTAATCCCTTCTGTACCCCTAATCCCCCCATTAACCCCTTCTGTACCCCATAACACCCCCATTAACCCCTTCTATGCCCCATTAACCCCTTCTCTACCTCATAACACCCCCCTTAACCCCCTCTGCACCCCATTAACCCCCTCTGCACCCCATTAACCCCCTCTGTGCCCCACAATCCCCTCCCCATTAACCCCCGTGTCCCCCCGCGCTCACCCCCGGGGTCTGGGCCCCGGCCGTGGGGCTGTCCCGGGGGTCCCGGGGGTCGCCCCCGCCCTCGGTTCCCCGGCTCCTCTTTGGCTCCAGCTCCTCCTTGGCCAGGGAGGGCAGGAGGTGCCCCCCCCCTCCCCGCTCCGCCCGGCGCTTCCGGCGCCTCTCGGGGTCCCGGCCGCGGGCCCGAGGCCCCCGGCGCTCGGCCTGCTCCAGCTGGGGAGGGGGACACAGAGAGACCCCCGTCAGACAGCCCAAATGGGGACAGGAGGGGACACACACACACAGAGACACCCTCACACACCCCGGCGCTCGGCCTGCTCCAGCTGGGGACACAGAGAGACCCTCAGACACACCCAGATTGGGGACAGGGGACACAGAGAGGGACCCTCAGACACCCCGGCGCTCGGCCTGCTCCAGCTGGGGACAGGGGACAAACAGGGACCCCTGTCAGACACACCAAATGGGGACAGGGGACACACACAGACCCCCTCAGACACCCCGGCGCTCGGCCTGCTCCAGCTGGGGACAAACAGGGACCCCTGTCAGACACCCCAAAATGGGGACAGGGGACACAGAGAGACCCTCAGACAGCCCGGCGCTCGGCCTGCTCCAGCTGGGGACAAACAGGGACCCTCAGACACACCAAATGGGGACAGGGGACAGAGAGAGACCCCCTCAGACACCCCGGCGCTCGGCCTGCTCCAGCTGGGGATGGAGGGGACAGAGACCCCTGTCAGACACCCCGAAATGGGGACAGGAGGGGACACACACACACAGAGACCCCCTCAGACACCCCGGCGCTCGGCCTGCTCCAGCTGGGGACAGGGGACAAACAGGGACCCCTGTCAGACACCCCAAAATGGGGACAGGGGACACACAGAGACCCCCTCAGACACCCCGGCGCTCGGCCTGCTCCAGCTGGGGACAAACAGGGACCCTCAGACACCCCCAGATTGGGGACAGGGGACACACACACACACACAGAGACCCTCAGACAGCCCGGCGCTCGGCCTGCTCCAGCTGGGGACACAGAGAGAGACCCTCAGACACCCCAAAATGGGGACAGGGGACACACACACACAGAGAGACACCCTCACACCCCGGCGCTCGGCCTGCTCCAGCTGGGGACACAGAGAGACCCTCAGACACCCCAAAATGGGGACAGGGGACACACACAGAGACACCCTCAGACACCCCGGCGCTCGGCCTGCTCCAGCTGGGGACAGGGACACACACAGAGACCCCCGTCAGACACCCCAAAATGGGGACAGGAGGGGACACACACACACACAGAGAGACCCTCAGACAGCCCGGCGCTCGGCCTGCTCCAGCTGGGGACACAGAGAGAGACCCCCGTCAGACACCCCAAATGGGGACAGGAGGGGACACACACACACACACAGAGACACCCTCACACCCCGGCGCTCAGCCTACTCCAGCTGGGGACACAGAGAGACCCTCAGACAGCCCGAAATGGGGACAGGGGACACAGAGAGGGACCCTCAGACACCCCAAATGGGGACAGGAGGGGACACACACACACAGGGACCCTCAGACAGCCCGGCGCTCAGCCTGCTCCAGCTGGGGATGGAGGGGACAGAGACCCCTGTCAGACACCCCAAAATGGGGACAGGAGGGGACACACACACACACAGAGACCCCCCTCAGACACCCCGGCGCTCAGCCTGCTCCAGCTGGGGACACAGAGAGACCCTCAGACACCCCCAGATTGGGGACAGGAGGGGACACACACACAAAGAGACCCCCTCACACCCCGGCGCTCGGCCTGCTCCAGCTGGGGACACAGAGAGACCCTCAGACAGCCCAAAATGGGGAGGGGGACACACACAGAGAGACCCTCAGACACCCCCAGATTGGGGACAGGAGGGGACACACACAGGGACCCCTGTCAGACACCCCAAAATGGGGGGGGCACACACACAGGGACCCCCATGAGACACCCCCAAATCGGGAGGGGGGACATAGAGACCCCCGTCAGACACCCCCAAAATGGGGACAGGAGGGGACAGCCCCATCAGACACCCCCAAAATGGGGAGGGGACACACACAGGGACCCTCAGACACCCCAAAATGGGGACAGGGGGGCAAACAGGGACCCCCGTGAGACACCCCCAAATTGGGAGGGGGACACAGAGACCTCCATCAGACACCCCCAAATCGGGACAGAAGGGGCTGGGCTGACAGGGGTTAATGGGGGGGGGGCAGTGGGGTATAGAGGGGGTGCAGGAGGGGTTAAGGAGAGGATTATGGGGTATTGAAGGGGTTAATGGGGGATTGTGAGGTGTAGAGGGGGTTAATGGGGTGTAGAGGGGGTTAATGGGGCAGAGAGAGGGTTCATGGGGGATTATGGGTTACAAAAGGGGTTAATGGGAGGGTTGTGGGGTACAGAAGGGGTTAATGGGGTGCAGAAGGGATTTATTGGGGGTGTTGTGGGGTGCAGAAGGGGTTAACGAGGGGTTATGGGGTACAGAAGGGGTTAATGGGGCACAGAGGGGTTTATTGGGGGTTGTGGGGTACAGAAGGGGATTATGGGGCACAGAGAAGGTTAATGGGGCACAGAAGGGGTTAATGAGGGGTTTTTGGGGTACAGAGAGGGTTAATGGGGCAATTATGGGGTACAGAGGGTCCCAATGGGTTTGGGGTCCCCGGGGCAGTTTCAGGGTGCCTGGGGCAGTTTTGGGGGTTTGTTCTGTACCCAGGGCAGTTTCGGGGTCCCCATGGCAGTTTCGGGGCTCCCATGGCAGTTTTGGGGTCCCCGTGGCAGTTTCGGGGTCCCCGTGGCAGTTTCGGGGTCCCTGGGGCAGTTTTGGGGTCCCCGTGGCAGTTTCGGGGTCCCCATGGCAGTGTTGGGGTCCTGGGGCAGTTTTTGGGGTCCCCATGGCAGTTTCGGGCTCCCCAGGGGCAGTTTTGGGGCTCCCATGGCAGTTTTGGGGTGCCCATGGCAGTTTTGGGGGTTGTGCTCTGTACCCCATGGCAGTTTTAGGGTCTTGGGGCAGTTTTGGGGGTTTGTTCTGTGCCCCGGGCAGTTTTGGGGCTCCCAGGGCAGTTTTGGGGTTTGTGCTCTGTACCCCAGGGCAGTTTCGGGGTCCCGTGTAATTTTTGGGGTGCCCATGGCAGTTCTGGGGTCCCTGTGGCAGTTTTGGGGTCCTGGGGCAGTTTCAGGGGTTTGTTCTGTACCCCGGGGCAGTTCTGGGGGTCCCGGGGCAGTTTCAGGGTCCCCATGGCAGTTTTGGGGGTTGCGCTCTGTACCCCAGGGCCGTTTTGGGGTGCCCAGGCATTTTTGGGGTCCCCCGTGTCAGTTTTGGGGTCCTCAGGCAGTTTTGGGGTTGTGCTCTGTACCCCAGGCAGTTTTGGGGTCCCGTGTCAGTTTTGGTGTCCCCGTGTCAGTTTTGGGGTCCCGTGTCATTTTTGGGGTTTGTGCTCTGTACCCCAGGGCAGTTTTGGGGGTTGTGCTCTGTACCCCGGGCAGTTTTGGGGTCCCCAGGCATTTTTGGGGTCCCCATGGCCATTTTTGGGGTCCCCTACCTCGAGCAGCAGGCGGAACAGCCCCAGCGGGGGCGGGCGCGTCGCCTGCAGCAGCCGCCAGATGCTCTGGGCCTCGTCCAGCGTCACCTCCAGCAGGTCCCCCTCCATCATCAGCTCCTCCAGCGGCCGCCGCGCCGCCTCGGGCAGCTCCAGCACCGGGCCCTGCAGCCGCGGCAGCGCCGCGCCCAGCGCCTCCAGCTCTGCGGGGACATGGGGACATTGAGGGGACATCATGGGGACACCACAGTGACACAGCGTGTGTGCCCTCGGGCAGCTCCAGCACCGGGCCCTGCAGCCGCGGCAGCGCCGCGCCCAGCGCCTCCAGCTCTGCGGGGACACCGAGGGGACAGTGAGGGGACATTGTGGGGACATGGGGACATCATGGGGACACAGCGTGTGTGCCCTCGGGCAGCTCCAGCACCGGGCCCTGCAGCCGCGGCAGCGCCGTGCCCAGCGCCTCCAGCTCTGCGGGGACAGTGAGGGGACACCACAGTGACACAGTGACACAGGGACACAGCCATGGGGACACAGGGACACAGCGTGTGTGCCCTCAGGCAGCTCCAGCACTGGGCCCTGCAGCCGCAGCAGCACCTCCAGCTCTGCGGGGACACCATGGGGACATTGTGGGGACATCGTGGGGACATGGACATGTCACCATTGCCAGCTCCAGCACCGGGCCCTGCAGCTGCAGTAGCGCCGCGCTCAGCGCCTCCAGCTCTGCGGGGACATGGGGACATCACAGTGACACAGGGACACAGCCATGGGGACACAGGGACACAGCGTGTGTGCCCTCAGGCAGCTCCAGCACCGGGCCCTGCAGCCGTGGCAGCGCCTCCAGTTCTGCGGGGACATTGTGGGGACATTGAGGGGACACGGGGACACGGGGACACAGGGACCCTGCAGCTCCAGCAGGGCCGCGCTCAGCACCTCCAGCTCTGCAGGGACAGTGAGGGGACAGTGAGGGGACACAGCCATGGGGACATTGAGGGGACACCATGGGGACACAGGGGCCCTGCAGCCACAGCAGCGCTGCACTCAGCGCCTCCAGCTCTGCGGGGACATTGAGGGGACAGTGAGGGGACATGGGGACACCACGGGGACATTGAGGGGACATGGACATGTCCCCATTGCCAGCTCCAGCACCGGGCCCTGCAGCCGCAGCAGCGCCTCCAGCCCTGCAGGGACATTGTGGGGACATTGAGGGGACACCACAGGGGCTTGGGGACACAGGGACATGGGAGGCTCCAGCCCCAGCAGAGCCACGCTCAGCGCCTCCAGCTCTGCGGGGACATTGAGGGGACACCATGGGGACATGGGGACACAGGGACCCTGCAGCCCCAGCAGGGCCACGCTCAGCATCTCCAGCTCTGCGGGGACACCATGGGGACAGTATGGGGACATTGAGGGGACACCACAGGGACATGGGGACGCAAGGACTTGGGGACACAGAGTGGGCTCAGCGCCTCCAGCTCTGCAGGGACACCATGGGGACATTGAGGGGACACCATGGGGACAGTGTGGGGACACCACAGGGACCCTCAGAGATCCACAGGAGCCCCCAGCACCGCTGAGCTCACCCGGGACCCAGGGGATCCCCAGATCGCTCTGTCCCTGCCCCATGGGATCTGCTGGGCCCCTCTGTCCATCCCTGGACCCCTCTGTCCATCCTGGATCCCTCTGTCTGTCCCTGGACCCCTCTGTCCCCTCCTGGATCCCCCTGTCCCTCCTGGATCCCCCTGTCCCTCCTGGATCCCTCTGTCCCACCCTGGATCCGTCTGTCTGTCCCTGGATCCCATCCTGGATCCCCCTGTCCCTCCCTGGGTCCCTCTGTCCCTCCTGGATCCCACCCTGGATCCGTCTGTCCGTCCCTGGATCCGTCTGTCCTATCCTGGATCCCCCTGTCCCTCCTGGATCCGTCTGTCCCTCCTGGATCCTCCTGTCCCTCCTGGGTCCCTCTGTCCATCCCTGGATCCGTCTGTCTGTCCCTGGATCCGTCTGTCCCTCCTGGATCCCATCCTGGACCCCTCTGTCCCTCCTGGATCCCATCCTGGATCCTCCTGTCCCTCCTGGATCCCCCTGTCCCACCCTGGATCCGTCTGTCTGTCCCTGGGTCCCTCTGTCCCTCCTGGATCCCTCCTGGACCCCTCTGTCCCACCCTGGATCCCACCCTGGATCCGTCTGTCCGTCCCTGGTCCCTCTGTCCCTCCTGGATCCATCTGTCTGTCCCTGGATCCCTCCCTGGGTCCCCCTGTCCACCCTGGATCCCTCTGTCTGTCCCTGGATCCCTCTGTCCTTGCCTGGATCCCCCTGTCCCACCCTGGATCTGTCTGTCTGTCCCTGGGTCCCTCTGTCCCTCCTGGATCCCTCTGTCCCTCCTGGATCCCTCTGTCCCTCCTGGATCCGTCTGTCCCACCCTGGATCCGTCTGTCCCATCCTGGATCCCATCCTGGATCCCCCTGTCCCTCCTGGATCTCTCTGTCCCTGGATCCCATCCTGGATCCCTCTGTCCCTGCCTGGATCCCCCTGTCCCACCCTGGATCCGTCTGTCTGTCCCTGGGTCCCTCTGTCCCTCCTGGATCCCTCCTGGATCCCCCTGTCTGTCCCTGGATCCCATCCTGGACCCCTCTGTCCATCCTGGATCCCTCTGTCCCTGCCTGGATCCATCTGTCCCATCCTGGATCCCACCCTGGATCCCATCCTGGGTCCCTCTGTCCGTCCCTGGTCCCTCTGTCCCTCCTGGATCCCCCTGTCCCCTCCTGGATCCGTCTGTCCCATCCTGGATCCCCCTGTCCCTCCTGGATCCCTCTGTCCTTGCCTGGATCCCCCTGTCCCACCCTGGATCCGTCTGTCTGTCCCTGGATCCCATCCTGGATCCCCCTGTCCCTCCCTGGGTCCCTCTGTCCATCCCTGGATCCCTCTGTCCATCCTGGATCCCTCTGTCCATCCCTGGATCTGTCTGTCTGTCCCTGGATCCGTCTGTCCCTCCTGGATCCCATCCTGGATCCTCCTGTCCCTCCTGGATCCCCCTGTCCCACCCTGGATCCGTCTGTCTGTCCCTGGGTCCCTCTGTCCCACCCTGGATCCCACCCTGGATCCCCCTGTCCCTCCCTGGGTCCCTCTGTCCCTCCTGGATCCCACCCTGGATCCGTCTGTCCGTCCCTGGATCCCTCTGTCCCTCCTGGATCCGTCTGTCCCCTCCTGGATCCCATCCTGGATCCCCCTGTCCGTCCCTGGATCCCTCTGTCCCACCCTGGATCCGTCTGTCCCACCCTGGGGCCCTCTGTCCTATCCTGGATCCGTCTGTCCCTGCCTGGATCCCTCTGTCCATCCTGGATCCCTCCCTGGACCCCTCTGTCCCACCCTGGATCCCTCTGTCCGTCCCTGGATCCCATCCCTGGATCCCATCCCTGGATCCCATCCCTGGATCCCTCCCTGGGTCCCCCTGTCCCACCCTGGATCCGTCTGTCCCACCCTGGGGCCCTCTGTCCTATCCTGCATCCGTCTGTCTGTCCCTGGATCCCATCCTGGACCCCTCTGTCCCATCCTGGACCCCTCTGTCCCATCCTGGACCCCTCTGTCCCTCCCTGGACCCCCCTGTCCCATCCTGGATCCCATCCTGGATCCCATCCCTGGATCCCATCCCTGGATCCCACCCTGGATCCCATCCCTGGATCCCATCCTGGATCCCATCCCTGGATCCCATCCTGGACCCCCCTGTCCCCTCCTGGATCCCATCCCTGGATCCCATCCTGGATCCCATCCCTGGATCCCATCCTGGATCCCATCCCTGGATCCCATCCCGGGTCCCCCCATCCGTGCCCCATGGGCTCCCTGGGCTCTCCCCAGGCCCCGGCCCCGCTCACCCGAGGGCAGGGCTCCGTTCTTCTCCGGGCTGGGGGCGTCCCCGTTCTCCACCGACACCTGGGGGGGTGCAGGAAAGGTGTTCTGGGGGGGGCAGCCTCCCCCAGCCCCAAAATCAAACCAAAAACACACCAAAATCACACCAAAAACACCTCAAAAACACACCAAAATCACCCCAAAACACCCCAAAAACACACCAAAAACACCTCATAACCTCAAAAACACCCCAAAACCACTCCATAACCCCAAAACCACCCCAAATCACCCCAAAAACACCCCAAAAAACACCCCATAATTCCAAAAACTCACCAAAACCACCTCAAAAACACCTCAAAACCCCAAAACACCCTTTAACCACCCCATAACTGCAAAAACACCCCCAAAACACCCCATAACCCCAAAAACACACCAAAAACACCCCATAACCCCAAAAACACACCAAAAACATCCAATAATCCCAAAACCACACCAAAAACACCCCATAATCCCAAAAACACCCCATAACCCCAAAAACTCACCAAAAATACCTCAAAAACACCTCAAAACCCCAAAACACCCCATAACCACCCCATAACTGCAAAAACAGCCCCAAAACACCCCATAACCCCAAAAACACACCAAAAACACCCCATAACCCCAAAACCACACCGAAAACACCTCAAAAACACCCCAAAACCCCAAAACACCCCAAAACCCCAAAAACACCCGAAAAACTCCCCATAACCCCAAAAAACACACCAAAACCACCCCAAAACCACAACAAAAACTCCCCATAACCCCAAAAAAACACCAAAAACCCCAGAATTCCCCCTAAATTCCCATATCTTGTTGTGCTCGTTGCAGCTGGCTCTGACAACCTGAATTCCACCCCAAATCACCCCCAAATCTCCATAAAACCCCCACAATTCCCCCTAAAACCCCCACAATTTCCCCCAAAACCCCCCATAATTCCACAAAAAACTCCATAATTTCCCCCAAAACCCCCCACAATTCCACAAAAAACCCATAATTTCCCCCAAAACCCACCTTGGTCTGCTCGTTGCGGCTGCCCTCATGCAGGGCCCTGACACCCTAAATTCCCCCCAAATCCCCCTGAATCTCCCGCAAATCTCCCTAAAACCCCCATAATTCCCCCTCAAAACCCCCATGAATTTCCTAAAACCCCCATAATTCCCCCCAAAACCCCATAATCTTCCTAAAACCCCGAAAATTCCCCCTAAATTCCCCACCTTGGTGTGCTCGTTGCAGCTGGCTCTGACACCCTGAATTCCACCCCAAATCCTCCCCAAATCTCCATAAAACCCCCACAATTCCCCCCAAAACCCCCATAATTTCCCCCAAAACCCCCCATAATTCCACAAAAAACCCCATAATTTTCCCCCAAACCCCCCATAATTCCACAAAAAACCCCATAATTTCCCCCAAAATTTGCCCACCTTGGCCTGCTCGTTGCGGCTGGCCTCACACAGGGCCCTGTCACCATTGCTGTGGTGCAGCTGCTGCCGCAGGGCCCCAACACCATAAATTCCCCCCAAATCACCCCCAAATCTCCCTAAAAGCCCCCCAAATCACCCCCAAACCCCCCTAAATCTCCCTAAAACCTGCCCACCTTGGTCTGCTCGTTGCAGCTGGCTCTGACACCTGAATTCCACCCGAAATCACCCCAAACCTCCCTAAATCTCCATAAAACCCCCACAATTCCCCCCAAAACCCCCATAATTTCCCCCCAAACCCCCCATAATTCCACAAAAAAACCCCATAATTTCCCCCAAAACCCCCCATAATTCCACAAAAAACCCCATAATTTCCCCCAAAACCCACCTTGGTCTGCTCGTTGCGGCTGGCCTCATGCAGGGCCCTGACACCCTGAATTCCCCCTAAATCTCCCTCAAACCCCCATAAATCCCCCTCAAACCCCTCATAAATTTCCCAAAGACCCCCATAATTGCCCCTCAAAACCCCATAATCTTCCTAAAACCCCCAGAATTCCCCCTAAATTCCCCACCTTGGTGTGCTCGTTGCAGCTGGCTCTGACACCCTGAATTCCACCCCAAATCCTCCCCAAATCTCCATAAAACCCTCACAATTCCCCCTAAAACCCCCACAATTTCCCCCCAAACCCCCCATAATTCTACAAAAAACCCCATAATTTCCCCCAAAACCCCCCATAATTCCACAAAAAAACCATAATTTCCCCCAAAACCCCCCATAATTCCACAAAAAAACCATAATTTCCCCCAAAACCCCCCATAATTCCACAAAAAACCCATAATTTCCCCTAAAACCCACCTTGGTCTGCTCGTTGTGGCTGGCTTCATGCAGGGCCCTGACACCCTAAATTCCCCCCAAATCCCCCTGAATCTCGCCCAAATCTCCCTAAAACCTCCATAATCCCCCTCAAAACCCCCATGAATTTCCCTAAAACCCCCATAATTCCCCCCAAAATCCCATAATCTTCCTAAAACCCCCAGAATTCCCCCTAAATTCCCCAATCTTGGTCTGCTCGTTGCAGCTGGCTCTGACACCCTGAATTCCACCCCAAATCCTCCTCAAATCTCCATAAAACCCCCACAATTCCCCCTAAAACCCCCACAATTTCCCCCAAAACCCCCCATAATTCCACAAAAAACCCCATAATTTCCCCCAAAACCCCCCATAATTCCACAAAAAAACCCCTAATTTCCCCCAAAATTTGCCCACCTTGGCCTGCTCCTTGCGGCTGGCCTCACACAGGGCCCTGTCACCATCGCTGTGGTGCAGCTGCTGCCGCAGGGCCCCAACACCATAAATTCCCCCCAAATCACCCCCAAATCTCCCCTAAAACTCCCATAATTCCCCCTAAATCACCCCCAAAACCCCTTTAATTCCCCTCCAATCCCCACCTTGGTCTGCTCGTTGCGGCTGGCCTCGCACAGTGCTCCATCACCATCACCGTGGCGCAGCCGGTGCCACAGGGCCCTGACACCCCAAATCTCCCCTAGAATTCCCCAAATCTCCCTAAAACCCCCATAATTCCCCCCCAAATCTCCCTAAAACCCCCATAAACCCCCCTAAATCTCCCCAAAATTTGCCCACCTTGGTCTGCTCATTGTGGCTGGCCTCACACAGGGCTCCGTCACCATCACCGTGGCACAGCCGCTGCCACAAGGCCCTGACACCCCAAAGCCCCCCAAATCTCCCTAAAACCCCCATAATTCCCCCCCCAAATCTCCCATAAACCCCCCCAAATCTCCCTAAAACCCTCATAAACCCCCCTAAATCTCCCCTAATTCCCCTCCAATCCCTACCTTGGTCTGCTCGTTGCGGCTGGCCTCACGCAGGGCTCCATCACCGTGGTGCAGCCGGTGCCCTGACACCCCAAATCACCCCCAAATCTCCCTAAAACCCCCCCAAATCTTCCTAAAACCCCCCCAAATCACCCCAAAACCCCTTTAATTCCCCACCTTGGCCTGCTCATTGCAGCTGGCCTCGCGCAAGGCGCCATCACCATCGCCATGGCACAGCCACTGCCACAAGGCCCTGACACCATAAATTCCCCCCAAATCGCCCCCAAACCCCCCCAAATCCCCCATAAACCCCCCCAAATCACCCCAAAACCCCTTTAATTCCCCACCTTGGTCTGCTCGTTGCGGCTGGCCTCGTGCAGGGCGCCATCACCATCACCGTGGCACAGCCGCTGCCACAAGGCCCTGACACCCCAAATCACCCCCAAATCACCCCCAAATCTCCCCAAATCACCCCCAAACCCCCATAAACCCCCCTAAATCACCCCAAAACCCCTTTAAATCCCCACCTTGGTCTGCTCGTTGCAGCGGGCCTTGCGCAGGGCTCCGTCACCATCGCCGTGGTGTTGCTGCTGCCGCAAGGCCCCGACACCATAAATCACCCCCAAATCACCCCCAAACCCCCCCAAATCTCCCCTAAAACTCCCATAATTCCCCCCAAATCTCCCCTAAAACCCCAATAATTCCCCCCAAACTCCCCATAAACCCCCCCAAATTACCCCAAAACCCCTTTAATTCCCCACCTTGGTCTGCTCGTTGCGGCTGGCCTCGCGCAGGGCTCCGTCACCATCGCCGTGGCACAGCCGCTGCCTCAGGGCCGCCAGGCGCTCCAGGGGCCCGGCCACCTCGGGGGAGGCCAGGAGCTGGCGTGGCGCGGTCCTGCCAGGTGATGGCTCTCTCGGTGAGGCACTGCAGGGCCTCGCCCTCGGGCAGCCGCACCGGCAGCTTCTGCAGGGCCACCAGCAGCGCCAGGATGGTCTCGAGGCGCGGCCGCCGCGAGCGCTGGCACAGCGGGCACAGGAACTTGGAGTCCCACTCCCACCAGGCCGGGGATGGTTTCTGGGAGCCCAGGCGGGGCCAGGCCACGCAGGAGCCGTGGAACCAGTCCCGGCAGAGCTGGCACTGCAGCATGGCCGGCCCAGAGAGGGCTGCCCGCACACGCAGGAGGGAGGGCCCGGGCCCGGCAGGGGCGGCGCCGATTTCTGGGCGTTGGCGTGGCGGAGGCGCAGCATTCCCTCCTTCTCCTTCTGCTCGCCACTCCTTGAACGCCACGATCTGGGGGGACAGACCAGAGTGACACAGGGTGTGACCCTCATCCCAAACCCCCACAGTGCCCTCCTTCTCCTTCTGCTCGCCCTCCTTGAACGCCACGATCTGGGGGGACAGAACAGGGGGAGACTGGGGGGTTACCCTCATCCCAAACCCCTCAGTGCCCTCCTTGAACGCCACAATCTGGGGGGACAGAATGGAGTGAGAGGGGAGGTTACCCTCATCCCAAACCCCTCATCCCAATCCCCTCAGTGCCCTCCTTCTCCTTCTGCTCGCCCTCCTTGAACGCCACAATCTGGGGGGATAGAACAGGGTGAGAGGGTGGGACCCTCATCCCAAATCCCCTCAGTGCCCTCCTGCTTGCCCTCCTTGAGTGCCACAATCTGGGGGACAGAATGGGGTGAGATTGGCGGTGTGACCCTCATCCCAAACCCCTCATCCCAATCCCCTCAGTTCCCTCCTTCTCCTTCTGCTCGCCCTCCTTGAACGCCACAATCTGGGGGACAGAACAGGGGGGACCGGGGAGGTTACCCTCATCCCAAACCCCCTCAGTGCCCTCCTTGAACGCCACAATCTGGGGGGACAGAATGAGTGAGAGGGTTGGGTTACCCTCATCCCAAACCCCTCATCCCAAACCCCTCAGTGCCCTCCTCTCCTTCTGCTTGCCCTCCTTAAATGCCACAATCTGGGGGAATAGAACGGAGGGTGAGACTGGGGGGTTACCCTCATCCCAAACCCCTCATCCCAAACCCCCTCAGTGCCCTCCTTAAATGCCACAATCTGGGGGGACAGAACAGGGTGAGATTGGGGGGTTACCCTCATCCCAATCCCTCAGTGCCCTCCTTGAACGCCACAATCTGGGGGGGACAGAACAGAGTGAGAGGGTGGGTTACCCTCATCCAAACCCCTCATCCCAATCCCCTCAGTGCCCTCCTTCTCCTGCTTGCCCTCCTTGAATGCCACAATCTGGGGGGACAGAATGGGGTGAGAGGGTGGACCCTCATCCCAAACCCCTCCTTGCCCTCCCTTAAATGCCAACGATCTGGGGGACAGAGACTGGGGGTGACACAAGGTGTGACCCTCATCCCAAATCCCCTCAGTGCTCTCCTCCTTGCCCTCCCTGAACGCCACAATCTGGGGGGACAGACAGAGTGACACAGGGTGTGACCCTCATATCAAACCCCTCATCCCAAACCCCTCAGTGCCCTCCTTCTCCTTCTGCTCGCCCTCCTTGAATGCCACAATTTGGGGGACAGAACAGGGTGAGAGGGGAGGTTACCCTCATCCCAAACCCCTCAGTGCCCTCCTTCTCCTTCTGTTCAACCTCCTTAAATGCCACAATCTGGGGGACAGAACAGGGGGAGATTGGGTGGTTACCCTCATCCCAAACCCCTCAGTGCCCTCCTTGAACGCCACAATCTGGGGGGACAGAAAGGAGTGAGAGGGTGGGTGACCCTCATCCCAAACCCCTCATCCCAATCCCCTCAGTGCCCTCCTTCTCCTTCTGCTCGCCCTCCTTGAACGCCACGATCTGGGGGGACAGAACAGGGGGAGAAGGTGGGTTAAACCCTCATCCCAAACCCCTCAGTGTCCTCCTTAAATGCCACAATCTGGGGGACAGAACAGGGTGAGATTGGGGGGTTACCCTCATCCCAAACCCCCTCAGTGCCCTCCTTGAGTGCCACAATCTGGGGGACAGAACAGGGGGAGAGGGTGGGTTAAACCCTCATCCCAAACCCCCTCAGTGCCCTCCTTGAACGCCACGATCTGGGGGGACAGAGATTGGGGGTGACACAGGGTGTGACCCTCATCCCAAATCCCTCAGTGCCCTCCTCCTTGCCCTCCTTGAATGCCACAATCTGGGGGACAGAACAGGATGAGAGGGGAGGTTACTCTCATCCCAAACCCCTCAGTGTCCTCCTTAAATGCCACAATCTGGGGGGACAGAGATTGGGGGTGACACAAGGTGTCCCACATTGTCCCAAACCCCTCCTTGCCCTCCTTGAACGCCACAATCTGGGGGAGAGCAGGGGGTGAGAGGGGACAGGGATGGAGGAAATGTGGGTGCCCCCCACCCCAAATCCTTGAATGCCAAGATCTGGGGAACAGTAGGGGCATGAGAGGTGACAGGGACTGGGGAAATGTGGGTGCCCTATCCCCAAACTCCCAAACACTTGGATCTGGAGGGAAATTGGGAGTGTGAGAGGGGACAGGGTTGGGGGGGTCACAGGGTGCCCCCCATCCCCAAAACCCCCCAGTTTGGGGAGAGCAAGGAACACGAGCAGTGACAGGAACCCAGGTCAGATGAATGCCAAAATCTGAGGGAGGTGAGGGGGGTGAGAGGGGACAGGGACTGGGGGAATGTGGGTGCCCCCCATGCCCAAACCTCCCAATTTAGGGAGAATGAGGAACATGAGCGATAACAGCAATCGAGACTGGATGTGGTGCCCCCCACCCCAAACCCCCGAATGCCAAAATCTGGGGGACAGCAGTGGGGTGTGAGGGGTGACAGGGACTGGGGGAATGTGGGTGCCCCCCACCCCAAACCCCTGAATGCCAAAATCTGAGGGAGGTGAGAGGGGTGACAGGGACTGGGGGAATGTGGGTGCCCCCCACCCCAAACACCTGAATGCCAAAATCTGAGGGAGGTGAGAGGGGTGACAAAGGACTGGGGGAATGTGGGTGCCCCCCACCCCAAACACCTGAATGCCAAAATCTGAGGGAGGTGAGAGGGGTGACAAAGGACTGGGGGAATGTGGGTGCCCCCATGCCCAAACCCCCCAGTCTAAGGAGAATGAGGAACATGAGCAATAACAGCAATCAGGGCTGGATGTGGTGCCCCCCACCCCAAACCCTCAAATGCCAAAATCTGGGGGACAGCAGTGGGGTCTGAGAGGTGACAAGGACTGGGGGAATGTGGGTGCCCCCCACCCCAAACCCCTGAATGCCCTGATCTGAGGGAGGTGAGGGGTGTGAGAGGTGACAGGGACTGGGGGAATGTGGGTGCCCCCATCCCCAAACCCACCCAGTTTAGGGAGAATGAGGAACATGAGCAATAATAGCAATCAGGGCTGGATGTGGTGCCCCCCACCCCAAACCCCTGAATGCCCTGATGTGAGGGAGGTGAGGGCTGTGAGAGGGGACAAGAACTGGGGGAATGTGGGTGCCCCCCATCCCCAAACACCTAAACCCCCCCAAATCAGGGACAATAACGAATATGAGCAGAATCGAGGTCGGACACGGTGCCCCCCACCCCAACCACTCCAATCCCGGGGTGGGCACAGCAGGGATGGGACCAGTGCCAGTGCTGGGGGTGCCCCCCACCCCAATCACCCCAATCACCCCAATCTCGGGGTGGGCACAGCAGGGATGGGACCAGTGCCAGTGCTGGGGGTGCCCCCAGAGCCCCCCCTGCTCACCACGGCCCCGGGGTCCCGCAGGTCCTGCGCTGACAGCCCCAAGCTCTCGGCGTCCAGGCGGTAGAGCCCCGGCTCCTGCCGCCACTTGAGCCTCTTGCTGCTGTCGGAGCCGGCGTCGGCGCAGGGACACAGCACCTGGGGGACACCATGGAGGGGTCAGCGCCCTGCCAGGACCCCCCAGAGCCCCCCCAGGGCCTCCCCCAGACCCACCTCGAGCAGGGTGTAGCAGGAGTTCTTCTTGAGGAAGGTGCGGGAGGCCTTGTCCCGCCAGGAGTGCGCGGTGCCCACCTGCACCTCGAGCTGCCGCAGCTCCTCCAGGCGCACGGGCAGGTCCCGGCCCACGGCCACCAGACCCTCCAGGTCATCCAGGCATGGGTAATGGTCACCGTTCTGAGGGGACAGTGACATGGGGACACATGGGGACATGGCCACCAAACCCTCCAGGTCATCCAGGCAGGGGTAATGGTCACCGTTCTGAGGGGACAGTGACATGGGGACATGGCCACCAGACCCTCCAGGTCATCCAGGCAGGGGTAGTGGTCACCGTTCTGAGGGGACAGTGACATGGGGACATGGCCACCAGACCCTCCAGGTCATCCAGGCAGGGGTAGTGGTCACCGTTCTGAGGGGACACAGGGTCAGGGATGACATGGGGACACATGGGGACACATGGGGACACGGCCACCAGACCCTCCAGGTCATCCAGGCACGGGTAATGGTCACCGTTCTGAGGGGACAGTGACATGGGGACACATGGGGACACATGGGGACATGGTCACCAAACACTGCAGGTCATGCAGGCAGGGGTAATGGTCACCGTTCTGAGGGGACAATGACATGGGGACACATGGGGACACATGGGGACATGGCCACCAGACCCTCCAGGTCATCCAGGCAGGGGTAGTGGTCACCGTTCTGAGGGGACAATGACATGGGGACATGGCCACCAGACCCTCCAGGTCATCCAGGCACGGGTAATGGTCACCGTTCTGAGGGGACAGTGACATGGGGACATGGCCACCAGACCCTCCAGGTCATCCAGGCACGGGTAATGGTCACCGTTCTGAGGGGACAGTGACATGGGGACACATGGGGACACATGGGGACACGGCCACCAAACCCTCCAGGTCATCCAGGCACGGGTAATGGTCACCGTTCTGAGGGGACAGTGACATGGGGACATGGCCACCAAACCCTCCAGGTCATCCAGGCAGGGGTAATGGTGACCATTCTGAGGGGACAGTGACATGGGGACACACGGGGACACATGGGGACACATGGGGACACAGCCACCAAACCCTCCAGGTCATCCAGGCACGGGTAATGGTCACCGTTCTGAGGGGACACGGGGTCAGGGGTGACATGGGGACACGTGGGGACACGTGGGGACACGGTGGCAGGAACAGGGACAGGATGGGATGGGGACATGGTGGCAGATGGGAGGGGTCCATGGGGACAGGGACAGGGAGGTGTCCAGAATCCATGGGGACAGGGACACAAAAGCATCCAGGGGGACAGAGTGGGGACACAGGGGTGTCCAGAGTCCATGGGGACAGAGACAGGGAGGTGTCCAGTGTCCACAGGGGACAGGATGGGGACACAAGGGTGTCCAGAGTCCATGACAGGACAGGGAGTGTCCAGTGTCCACAGGGACAGGATGGGGACACAGGAGTGTCCAGAGTCCATGACAGGGACAGGGAGGTGTCCGTGTGTCCAGGATGGGGACACACAGGTGTCCCCTGTCCAGGGGACAGCCCAGGCACTTAGGGCTGTGCAGTGAGGGGTCCCTGGGGGTCCCAGGTGTCTCAGGGGGTCCCAGGGTGTCCCAGGTGTCTCAGGGTGTCCCAGGGGTCTCCCAGGGTGTCCCAGAGGTCCCAGGGTGTCCCAGGGGGTCCCAGGGGTCTCAGGGGGTCCCAGGGTCCCCCAGGGGGTTTCGGGGGGGTGTCCCAGGGGTCTCAGGGGGTTCCAGGGTGTCCCAGGTGGTCCCAGGGTGTCCTGGGGTGTCCTAGGGTTTCCCAGGGGGTCCCAGGGGGGGTTTCAGGTGTCCCAGGGGTGTCCCAGGGTGTCCCAGGGTGTCCCAGGTGTCCCAAAGGGTCCCAGGATGTCCCAGGGTGTCCCAGGGGTGTCCCAGGTATGTCCCAGGGTGTCACCAGGGGTGTCCCAAAGGGTCCCAGGGTGTCACCAGGGGGTCCCAGGGGTGTCCAGGGTGCCCCAGGGTGTCCCAAGGGTGCAGAGCCCACCTGGATCTCCTCGACGTCGGCGATCCAGGCTCGGGCCTTGCCCAGGGCCTCCTTCAGGGCCTGGATGTTGGGCAGCAGCGCTGGAATGTTCTCGGCCTCCTTGATGATGGCAGCCAGCGTGGCCGGGGGGTGCTTCTGCCTGTGGGGGGCAGAGCCAGGGACCTGAGACCCCCCTGACACCCCAGGGACCCCCATGAAACCCCAGGGACCCCCCTGATACCCCAGGGACCCCTCTGATACCCCAGAGCCAGGGACCTGAGACCCCCATGACACCCAGAGACCCCCATGATACCCCAGAGACCCCCATGATACCCCAGAGCCAGGGACCTGAGACCCCCCTGAAACCCCAGGGACCCCCACGATACCCCCAGGGACCCCCATGACACCCCAGAGACCGCCCTGATACCCCCAGGGACCCCCATGATACCCCAGGGACCCCCCTGATACCCCAGGGACCCCCATGATACCCCAGGACCCCCTGATACCCCAGAGCCAGGGACCTGAGACCCCCATGACACCCCAGAGACCCCCCTGATACCCCTGAGATCCCTGACACCCCCAGAGCCAGGGACCTGAGACCCCCATGATACCCCCAGGGACCCCCCTGATTACCCCAGGGGACCCCCATGATACCCAGAGACCCCCCCTGATACCCCAGAGACCCCAGAGCCAGGGACCTGAGACCCCCATGATACCCCAGAGACCCCCCTGATACCCCCCCAGGGGACCCCCCTGACACCCCCATGACCCCCCTGATACCCCAGGGCTGACCTCCCTGACACCGCCCAGAGCTCCCCCTGACACCCCAGAGCCAGGGCAGGAGCCTCTGAGGAGCAGCTGAACCCCAAACTTTCATCCCCTCTCCCCACAGAGTCACCCCCAGCCCCTTTGTCCCAACTCAGGGAACAGAGGGCACAGCCCAGCGCCCACCTGCCCCTGGGGACACTCCAGCCCCACACCTCCCTTTGGGGACAGCTCCCAGCCCCTTTGGGGGACAGCCCCAGCCCCCTTGGGGACAGCCCCAGCCCTTTGGGGACACCTCCAGTCCCTTTATCTCCCTTTGGGGACAGCCCCAGCCCCTTTGGGACATTTAGGGACAGCTCCAGCCCCCTTGGGGATGGTTCCAGGCCCCTTATCTCCATTTAGGGACACCTCCAGTCCTTTGGGACACCTCCAGCCCCTTTATCTCCCCCCCTGGGTCAGGGTCTCTCCCTTTGGGACAGCTCCAGCCCCTTTATCTCCATTTGGAGAGGGCTCCAGCCCCTTTATCTCTCCCCTGGGTTGGGGTCTCTCCCTTTAGGGACACCTCCAGCCCCTTTATCTCCCTTTAGGGGATGGCTCCAGCCCCTTTATCTCCAGCCCCTTTATCCTCCCCCCAGCTCAGTCTCCCCCTGGGGATGGCTCCAGCCCCTTTATCTCCATTTGGGGACAGCTCCAGCCACCTTTGGGGACAGCTCCAGCCCTTTATCCCCCCCCGGGTCGGGGTCTCTTCCCTTGGGGACGGTTCCAGCCCCTTTGGGGACACCTCCAGCCCCTTTATCCCCCCAGCTCAGGGTCCCTCCCTTAGGGACATCTCCACCCTCCCCATCTCCCCCCTGCCCGGGCTCCCTGGCCCCGACCTGGCCTCGAGGCACATCTGGGCCTTCTCCTCCCAGCGCTGGGCGATGGTCAGCAGCTCCTGCAGCTCGGCCATGGCCACGTCCACGGCGGGGCTGGGGGCCACGGTGCGGCCGGCCTGGATGAGGCCGCGCATGACGGGCAGGGGGACGCGGGGCGCGGGGGGAGCGCAGCGTGGCCGTCACCCTCCTCCAGCCACGCGGCCTGGGCCAGCTGCCGCTCCAGCCGCCGGCCCTCGGGGCACCTCCACGCCCAGGCGGGCCCCGCGCTCCAGCAGCTCCTGCAGGGCCCCCGCGCCCGGAGCGGCAACGGCCAGCGCGGCCCGGGCCTCGGCCTGGAAGGCTTCCACTCGGTCCAGCAGGGCCTGGGGGGACAGGGGGACACAGGGTCAGGGAGAGACAGGGACAATGTGGGACAGACAGGGGACACCCCAGAGATTCCCCCCCCTCGGCCTGGAAGGCTTCCACTCGGTCCAGCAGGGCCTGGGGGGGACAGGGGACAGTGTGGGACATCGTGGGGGACAGCAATGGGACAGTGTGGGACATCGTGGGGACAGTGTGGGACAGACAGGGGACAGTGTGGGACATCGTGGGGACAGACAGGGACAATGTGGGACATCATGGGGACACCAATGGGACATGGGGTTAGGGACACACAGGGGACAGTGTGGGACATCGTGGGGACAGACAGGGACAATGTGGGACAGACAGGGGACAGTGTGGGGACACCCCAGAGATTCCCCCCCTCGGCCTGGAAGGCTTCGACTCGGTCCCAGCAGGGCCTGGGGGGGACAGGGGACAGCGTGGGACATCGTGGGGACAGTGTGGGACAGACAGGGGACAGTGTGGGACAGTGTGGGACATCATGGGACAGTGTGGGACAGTGTGGGACATCGTGGGGACAGTGTGGGGACACCCCAGAGATTCCCCCCCCCTTGGTCTGGGAGGCTTCGACTCGGTCCAGCAGGGCCTGGGGGGACAGGGGACAGCGTGGGACATCGTGGGGACAGTGTGGGACATCGTGGGGACAGCAATGGGACAGTGTGGGACAGACAGGGGACAGTGTGGGACAGTGTGGGACACACAGGGGACAGTGTGGGACATCGTGGGGACAGCAATGGGACAGTGTGGGACACACAGGGGACAGTGTGGGACATCATGGGGACATCGTGGGGACAGTGTGGGACATCATGGGGACAGACAGGGGACACACAGGGGACAGCGTGGGACATCGTGGGGACAGCAATAGGGACAGTGTGGGACACCCCAGAGATTCCCCCCCTCGGCCTGGAAGGCTTCGACTCGGTCCAGCAGGGCCTGGGGGGGACACGGGGTCAGGGACACACAGGGGACAGTGTGGGACATCATGGGGACACCAATGGGACATGGGGTTAGGGACACACAGGGGACAGTGTGGGACGGCGTGGGGACAGACAGGGGACAGTGTGGGACACACAGGGGACAGTGTGGGACATCATGGGGACAGACAGGGGACACACAGGGGACAGTGTGGGACATCATGGGGACAGCAATGGGGCAGTGCGGAGACAGACAGGGATCCCCCCTCTCGGCCTGGGAGGCTTCGACTCGGTCCAGCAGGGCCTGGGCGGACATGGGACATCGTGGGGACAGACAGGGACAATGTGGGACACACAGGGGACAGTGTGGGACACCCCAGAGATTCCCCCCCCTCGGCCTGGAAGGCTTCGACTCGGTCCAGCAGGGCCTGGGGGGACAGGGGACAGTGTGGGACATCGTGGGGACAGTGTGGGACACACAGGGGACAGTGTGGGGACAGTGTGGGACATCATGGGGACACTGTGGGATACACAAGGACATGGGGTCAGGGACACACAGGGGACAGTGTGGGACATCATGGGGACAGACAGGGGACACGGGGACAGGGACAGACAGGGGACAGTGTGGGACATCATGGGGACAGTGTGGGACATCGTGGGGACACCCCAGCCCAGAGATTCCCCCCACTCGGCCTGGGAGGCTTCAACTGGGTCAGCAGGGCCTGGGGGGACACGGGGTCAGGGATGGACAGGGGACAGTGTGGGGACACAGAGGGACACCAATGGGACATGGGGTCAGGGACACACAGGGGACAGTGTGGGACATCGTGGGGACAGACAGGGGACACGGGGACAGGGACAGACAGAGGACAGTGTGGGGCACGGGACAGGGATGGACAGGGGACAGTGTGGGACATCATGGGGACAGACAGGGGACACTCCCGAGACATTGTGTGATAACCCTGGGACACACAGGGACACACAGGGGACAGACAGGGACAATGTGGGACACATAGGGGACAGCAATGGGACACACAGGGACACGCCTGGGACACTGTATGACGGCCCAGACACTGTGGGACACCACTGGGACACTGTGTGACACTCCAGGGACCCCCGTGTGACCCCGTGTGACCCCGTGTGACCCCGTGTGACCCCGTGTGACCCCGCGTGACCCCGTGTCCCACCTGCACGTCCCCGATCTGGTGCATCACGCAGGGCAGTTGGTTCATCTGCTCCAGGAACGCCCGCAGCTCCTCCAGCGTCAGCGCCGGCGCGGGGACCCTGCGGGGACAGGGACACAGAGGGGACATTGTGGGGACCCTGCGGGGACAGGGACATTGTGGGGGACACTGTGGGGACAGGGACATTGTGGGGACCCTGCGGGGACAGGGACATTGTGGGGACACTGTGGGGACAGGGACATTGCGGGGACCCTGCGGGGACAGGGACATTGTGGGGACAGGGACATTGTGGGGACACTGTGGGGACAGGGACATTGTGGGGACACAGCTGGGGACCCTGCGGGGACAGGGACATTGTGGGGACACTGTGGGGACAGGGACACTGCAGGGACAGGGACATTGTGGGGACACTGTGGGGACACTGCGGGGACAGGGACATTGTGGGGACATTGCAGGGACAGGGACATTGTGGGGACACTGTGGGGGACAGGGACACTGTGGGGACAGGGACATTGTGGGGACAGGGACATTGTGGGGACAAGGAGGGGACACTGCAGGGACAGGGACATTGTGGGGACAAGGAGGGGACACTGCAGGGACAGGGACATTGTGGGGACACTGTGGGGACAGGGACATTGCTGGGGACAGGGACATTGTGGGGACATTGCTGGGACAGGGACACTGCAGGGACAGGGACATTGCTGGGGACACTGCGGGGGACACTGCGGGGACGGGGACACTGCTGAGGACGGGGACAGGGACACTGCAGGGACAGGGACATTGCTGGGGACACTGAAGGGACACTGCTGGGGACCCTGCGGGTCAGAGACATTGTGGGGATACGGAGGGGACAGGGACATTGCTGGGGACCCTGTGTGGACAAGGGACACTCTGGTGACACCATGGTGACCCTGTGGTGACACCCGTGGTGACCCTGTGGTGACCCCG